CCCCCCCACGAGTTGGGTAGGAGAGAGGGATGCGTGCAAGCATGTGTGCCTTTTTTCTCACTCCTCGAGTCATTCCCGTCGTCTTGCAGCGGTGGATGGCTGACTGCCTCCTGCCACACAGAATGCGACCACCGCCACCATGGCTAAATCGTGTGCCACACACACTTCTCGCACGCCAAAACGCGCGCACGAGCACAGGCAAGCGCACGCCTGTCTCTACATCGCTTCGTGCGCCGAAACGCACGCACCCAGCCAACATGGTATCGATCGGTGTGCGTGTGTACGTGTATAGGCGCACGTACGCACCAGATGGCACGTGTGCGTGTGGTGGTAGCAGCAGTAGGAGGGCGACGAGGAGCAGGACTGTGATGAGGTGACGGCGGCGGCGGTGGTACTGAATACCCGCAGAGGCGTGTGAGTGTACGCGCTCACGTGTGTGTTTTGTTTTTGTCTACTGCTGCCGCTACTGCAAGCGCGCCCACATTTTGACAGAATTAGGCAGGCAGCGAGTGATAATATGTATGTGCGCGAGGTCGCCCTAAGACAACGTACACACGCGCACAGTATGTGTGAAGAAATCTAGTGCTTCAGTTAGCATGAAGATCGAGACAGGTGTACACCGCCGCATCGCTAATAGTAACGGTGTGACCACTCTCAGGTGATCCGCTGCAGCTATCACAAACCACCGTAGTCGAGGTGATTAAGAGTGGCAGCAAAAAAGAGGACGGGATGTAAAGGTGACAAAAGAGTACAGAGAATACACTTTTAAGATACAAGGTACTTCTAATAAAGTGAATGCTTAAAGTGAGCAGCATTATTCCAGATTTTGATTACATTCGCGGCAAATTAAAGCTGATCAAATGCCTAACCCCTGCTATCGCCAAGTGATAATATGTACAAAAGAAAGCGATAGAAAATTCTGAAATAACCTCTGCCAGTGAAAACTTGGCCCCCGAAAAAGAGCGTAGTGGAAGTGACGCAAGGAAAGAAAGAAAGCTTTGGCAACATTACGGTTAACAAGGCCATAGAGGTTATTATTCCCACCTCATTACTTGTGCACTTAAGTGGCCCAGTTTCGGCCAAGATTTAAATGTCGGACGGTGACCAAATGTCCTCCTACAATGCAAGTAAAGCGACGTAAACTCAGTGAATCTCTGGCTTAGGCAAACGTAGGCAAATGCCTATCATTGAATTCCATATGACTCCGAGGATTGAGTGAACTTCGCAACGCCTTGCAGGCAGAGCACAAATCGGCGATTTTGACTGCGATTTGTCTCTGGTCAAAATCGTTCACATCGAATTTTTATTCCTCTTCGATGTAATGTAGCAAAGTAGCTAGTCTCCCCTCTAGATTTTGCTCCAAATCACAAATAGGGTTGGAAATACGCGAGGCCCCATCACCTTAGACATTTGCATCTTTTTTCTCCCTCTCACTCTCACCCTCCTGACAAACGTTCCCACCACCAAAAATTGATACAAGGACAGCATACCAACAGCAGCAGTGCGAACAAATTGATGTGAAATCTCCTGTTTACTTGGACAAGTTGAGAGATCTGACAGACGGGGAGTTTCGCAACACAGAACGCACATTCTGCAGATTGAGGCATTGTCTGAGGGCCGAGTAAAGGATAATGATCGATGCAAAACATAAAAAGATATCCTTATCCGAATGAGGTGCTGAATATCACTTGGAGAGCGTAAAGATTGCATGTTTGGAGGCGTTTTCATGCATTAATTGTATTGCAATGGACATACATCTGCGCAAGTTGATTTAAACGTTCTTGACCAGTTTATTGTCCAGTCGACGCCCCTTTGTTTTCACAACAAGAGAGCGAAATCAAAATTTAAACGGCCTGTAACAAAGCTGTTTGATAACTGTGCAGTGAAAGTTTGCAAAAGCACGATTCCATTAGCAGACATCTGCCAGCGTATGTAGTACATTCTGGCTAAATAGTACAATTTGAAGTGCCACCAACAGACCCATGCGCACCAAGAATCATACACCTAATGGGATGTAAATGTGACACCAAGTGCTTTCATAACCTAGGGTTAAAAGCTCCGATAAAAATTAGCCAGCCTCATCTGTGATGGAACAAAAAACTCATTCAGCCTCCCTTGAAGGAGGCTTCAACGCACAAAACCGGGACAGAGAGTTCACCTATGGTGACAGCCTGAAGCGCGACATCATAGGAGTAAATCGAGTCCTTTGCAGTATGAGATTCCCAAACTACCAAGAACTGAAGGTAATGTACGCCTAAAGGGAAATTTTCTAGCATAAAATTGAGACCTGAAGGTGGACTCGAAGCTGAGAAAGTGAGGCAGCAATTCGGCCACCTCAAAAGCCTACTTGTATTCAAAGAGGTTCACTCGTCTAGGCAATATCAAGTGGCAAACGTGGATCTGGCGGTCTTCTAGATGCCTAGACAGAGATTAAGTTAGAAAATGACACTCGTTTAGCTACAGACAAAATAGGGAGCGTCGCAGCAATGATGAGACCGGAAACAGACACTTTCAAAACAAATACAGAGAAAGAAGTAGCATTTATATGGTGAGCCAGCTACTACTAGGGGCAGCAAAAAACGGCTTATTAGCGGAGCTTTGGTAGTAAGTCGCTAATGGGTTGCCTCCGGTCGAAAAGTAGAACTTACATCTGCATAGTGCCACAGTTCATGAAAAGTGAGCACCCATGCACAAGAGGCTAAAGTGTGGTAGGTAATTTCTTACTTCCAATTTTTGGTGACAAAAAACAAAATCTACGGGTTTATGCTTCTGCTCAAACAATTTATCAATGGCTAAGATATTATCTGATTACCGGGAACATAATCATCAAGGGAAGAACAAGCACAGAATCTTGTAAACGAAAAATGAACGGGTTGCCAATTATAGTGGCATCACGAAACAAGTTATTTTAATGCAGGACAGTAATCAGAGAAGCAATCAAACCTCTAATGCTGCAAAGTGTACAGTTGAAGTGGGAAAATTACATAAGAAGTATGAGAAAAGCATGAATGAAGCAACATGGTGTAGCCGAAGAACACGTCCTATACAGTGAAGGCTCTCAATCAAACGACCTGACTGATACGAGATAGAGGATGGAACTTGAGTCGTTTCCGCCCTCAACAATCACAAGTCCAAAGTCAAGTGCGCAGTGATGTGACGCAGCAGCATGGTACACTCGAAGAACAAATTAATCATTCCCTTCTACCGCACTCGTTTGCTAGCTTGTTAGCTAGCCCTCGCACAAACGTCTAAAGCGCACACACCAACGCTGCTGGTGCGTACGTGCACCCGCTCGTCCCACAAGTTTACCAGGTGAAGGTGAGTCACCCTCCTATCCATCCCATCATTCGCGGGGGTTACGTTCCCTCCGGCACTCCCTACATGTGGGCTTCGCGTTTCCAGTTCGCACTTTCACAGTGGCACAGCCTGGTGTGCCTTCGAGAGTTTGAGCAACCCACTGCAGACCTCAAAACCCATTGACCCCGGCAATGCACCACAATACTAAAAGGGACACACTTTCAACTTCAAAAAGGACAAAACTAGAGAGAATGCGATGCGTCAAGTAGTTTCCATCACGTAAAACTGGTAATAACGAGCGGGAATTGAGATCCCAGAGGTACGCAATTATCCATCTTAACAGTACTCAAGACTTGAAATCAGATGGTCTCATTGGAAGAACGGTGCAGTAAATTAGTGAGGCAGTCAGCTAACCCAAAACCAAGAACCCAGTAATACAGGGCTGTTGAAGGAAATTAGCTTTGGGAAAACGCACGAAAAAAATTAGAGCTGACCGGAAATTGAACTTGGCCACCGCCACAAAGCCCACCAGTCGAAGACAAATACTGTGGTGGAGGAGGTGCCTGTCCTGAAGCGACCACGTTGTGCGGCTGCTGAGGTTGCATCATAGGCGGACCCGAGGTTGACGGTGGAGGCTGGGACGAACCTCCATTCCCCGGTGGTTGCCCACCAGTCATCATCTCCGGTGGAATCTGAGGCTGTGGTGCGCCTACGAAGCCCCCTCCACCACCGCCGCCACTCCCAGGTCCACCGGTGCCTCCTCCACTACCGGGTGGTCCCCCTCCGTATTCCGAAGGCATCATCATCGACTGCTGACCTGGTCCATTGGGTGGAGGCCCACCCATCATGTCCACCGTATGCATAGGAGACATTTTGACATCAGGACCAGGGTAGGGCAAGCCTGGACCACCGGAATTTGGCGGAAGGCCGTACTCTGGAGGAGGAGGCGGCATCATAGGACCACTGCTTCTGCCATTCCCGCCATTCATGATAACAGCAGGTCCACCATCAAATTCAGTTCGGTTTGTAAAGATTGGCTGTGGTTGAGACTGTTGGTCGTTGGGGAGGTTCGACGAAGATGCAGGCGATGTCTGTTGTTGTGGGGCATAGTGTGATGGAGGGGGCTGAGATTCGGGATTAGGATTATTGCCATTATTAGGACTAGCTACATGGGGCGGAGCGCCACCAGGAGTGCCAGGGTGACCAGGACTTGCAGCCATGCCACCACCACCTCCACCAGAGGCCTGAGGCGGGAGAGGAGGGCCGACGCCGCTGCAAGGTGGCTGTTGTTGAGGTACTGGAGGAGGAGCTTGCTGTGGCTGGGGCCCTCCGGGACCCATCCAACGCGCCCTCGGGGGCATGTGCGGATGTCCCGGCGGACCTGGCATCATTCCCCCGACAGGTGGTCCATAGGGAGACTGATGAAATCGCATAGAAGGGTGCATCGGAGGACCTGGGGGCTGACCACCCGGCATCATCGGTGGAAGAGTAGGACGTTGACGCATTGCACCGCCACCAAGGGTTTCCGGTGGGCCACCGCCCAAAGTTGGAGGCATACTAGTCACTGGTCCTTGAAGACCGGGATGTGGACCAGGTTGAGAAACTCGATGCATAAATGGAGGCGCGTTTGGCATGGGACGTCCTGGCATACAATGCTCCTACAAATTTTCACCAATAATGCATGTGCTCCATGCAACACAAAATCGTCCATTGGATTATTAGCTTAAACACAAGTGAAAGGTAGAAACGCAATAAAACTGCTTGCGCCAGAAGATCGACTAAGGTTCGACACACCTTTATAGAGTACAATGATCGATGGAATGCTATCAAACCGAAAGTAACTTACATGAGGCAGGCCGTTAGGGTACCCAGAATTCACAAAACCCTAAGAAAAGGATGAGGGAAATCCAAAACATACATAGTCATAAAAAGCTTTTGCCTCCGTTGTGTGTTCATGTGTATCCCGTCGTTCTGGGGCAGCGCTATACAAATCCCAAAAAACACTACAGAAATAAAGCCATGAATATTAACGCACCTCCACCAAGAATGAAGAAAACCAGGGGGTTCACCAACACTTATAGATTTGTCCCATCGAATCTAATCATTACGTTAAATAAAAAATAGTAGCGTACTTCCTGCAGAAAAGAGTTCGCCGTTTTTTGGGCGCCAATATGCACCAGATATTCATGAACATACATTGCAAGTCTAATAATGTCAAAAGCAAGCCTAAAAACTACTTTTCTTTTGATTGAGCTTCAGAAGGAACTCCCATCATTTTATTCTTCCCGTACATCTTCATCAACACAATACCATAACTAGAAAGGACGACTCGTAACCACCGGTTCAAGTGTGAAAGATAATTGGCTTAAAGTGAAAAATTAAAACAATGACCATTCTTATTTTAGATTGTGAAAAACACAGCCACAAAATAAAAAACAACTATCTCTATAAAAAAAACAAACAACTGTATAATCAAATATCAAATATCAAATCAAATATGCGCCTGCTTTCTGTTAGGCATTGGTTCTAAAAATGGATTTAGCTTGTCAGTGAATGATCCTACTTTTTGCTCTTCAATATTCGCTCTTACTCTTTCGCAAGTGTGAGCGCTCGGAAGACTATTAGTTACACTTGTTAACGTGGTTACAGTTTGCAGAGTTGGAAGTATTAAATGATATTTGGTCTAGTTAAAGGAACGGTCTGCATAATCTACTTTATGATAACTGAATGCAGTTGCACCTTTTTTAATTAAGAAGACCAAATTCTACTATTATTAGCGGTACCAGATTTTAATTTCCAAGCAAGTTAGCTCGCAACACACATATTACATTGGCCACATACATGTCCATTTCACTATCTTTTAATTTGGTTGTGCAATACTTTGTTTATGTGACTTTCTGACGGTCGGCAGTCACATTAGAATTTTTGTGATGGCTGGTGTGGGAGGTGCACCAAAGGGGAAGCGCCGAAGACGTCGCTCAAAAGAAGAGAGGAGCATTGTAATGCTTTGTCTATGTGACTACCTAACGTTTAGCGGTTACTTTAGAATTTTTCTGGACTCTGTACACGTGGGCTGACCCTTGGGCCATGCTTAGGCCCCATTTGCCCTGTTGTCTTCGAAATACATGTACTCACCCTCACTTATGCCTTCTACTACCCCATGGAAAGCCAAAGGACGCTAAAACACCTCAAAGTTGGTCCACCGTAATTTGTTTCTTAACTAATGGTAGCTTTGGAGCTCCAAAGCAGCGTCTTTTAACTTCCTTGTGGATAAAGCATAAAACCCAAGCAGAGTGTAGGCTTTTGGCTTAAGGGAAAAGAACGCTATTTTCGGTGTGGCCAATGGCTTACTGTATAAAGCTGCAGATTTAGTGACGTTGAAAAAACAAAGGAACTACTACAGTAATTAATCAGTTGAACATGTTTATAAAAAATTTTAAATAAACAAAGCGACTTAAATTTTTAAAGAAATATTCTATTATCATGATTGTGTGTAAAGCTACATCGTTTTCTTGTTAGCTATCTTTCTTAAATTGATTTCTTTTGTTTGTAGTGATCGCAGCCCGTTATTAGTACGCCAATGGTTTTAGGGTCTACCCAAGGTTATCAAATAGTGGTGTATTTAATCCGCGGTCATGTTAGTCGATGTTTTTCCTTGGTGTGGGCAGATTTCGTGCTTGAAGGAGTTGTAACGATCATAGTGTCTTTCCTTCTGCAAAAAAAACAAACTGTGGATTAGAATCGATTGACTTCCTCCGTACCTACTATCTTTAGTTTGGCGAGGAGGTATGTGGTCTAATTGTCTCAAAAACGGTGCTAAGTTATGGATGAGTAGCATTTTCGCTTGTTTCTTGAAAGACTATCTAGATTATTTTTCCCGATGCTTTTGACACTGTATATTCCCAACTTGGGTATCTGGGTGCAAATCTTTGGTCCATTTTCGTTGGTAAACAATATTTCATGATGTGTATTTTTTATATTATTTCCGCCTTGCCAGCTTTATTGTAAAGGCTAACTCGCTGGATACTGTGAGTTTTTTATCCTTTAAGTGTGGCTTCATTCGTATTTGTATCTTTCATGGCCAATGTTAACTAATTTTGATCATTTATTTTTCTTGTGCTTTGTCGATTCGCATCTTCAGGTCTTCATACCTGTACTAAATTTTTTGTATACTGATATGTACGATTATAAAATTAGGTCCTTGTTTTTTTTCTCCCTGACAGATGGAAAAACTTGCTTGCAGATTGACGAACCTCTTTGATGAACACCCGATCTCACAGCAATCTCGGAACCTGTCTTACGGTACTCCGGGATACCGAGGTAAAGCTGACCTTTTGCATGGCATTGCCATAAGAATTGGTGCCTTTGCGTGTCTTCGTTCTATTCAACAAGTGAGTCACATATTTACAGCTAAAAATGCCACATTAGGGCGGTAAGGCTGTTGGAGTGATGATTACGGCATCCCACAATCCTCCAGAGGACAACGGCTTAAAGCTTATTGACACTGATGGTGGTATGTTTTCACCGGATTTGGAGCCCAGTGTGGTGAAATTTGTCCGATTGCGGAGCGATGAGTTAGAGGACTTTTTACTCGGCTACTTTGCTGACTCCTACGGTAGAGCGCTTCAATCAATTCCTTACCACAGTTGTAATTGACTAACCTCATGCTTTATCGTTTTTGCTCCTTACCTCTGCAGACGCATGCATTGAACCTCAGGTGTTCTTTGGTTGGGATTCTCGCGTAAGCTCTGTAGCTCTATCTCAAGAGGTGAAGAAGGGTGTAATGGCGACCGGTGGAAAGTATGTAGACTTTGGACTTGTCACAACGCCACAATTGCACTTTTTGGTCCATATTCAGGTATTCTACTTTTTTCCCCCTTAACTGTTTTCATCCTCTGCAATTTTGCTCGTTGCCTGTAGGCAGAGATAAGACGATCCCAGCTAGCAGACATAATAATGTTAGCAAGTGATTCCACTGTTCACAGAAGTAAGGGAATCTTTCAAAATCCTTGCGCAAGCATATGTGCTTAATATTTTTTTGTGTGAAACATCGTTCCCTTGATTGAACTAATCATCGTTTGAGTCTTATATTGCTAATGAGATTTCTATAAACTTTAATGAACACTGTCCAGAACTCAAATGAGTTCTATCTTAGTGGTTCATCCTCTCAGCATACATTTGGTTCGGTTATTACGGAAAACAGTAAAAATGCTACAAAACAGCATCAAACCGTGCCATTCATTAAATAAAAGTTTATACTTGTATGTTAATCTCTCAGTACTAAACTAATTTAATGCATGCGGCCGTGTTGTCTAAAACAGGCTATTTTTCGACCGCGTGAGTTCCGCCATATTTCTGGTGGGTTTTTTCCCCACTAGAATTGTGTTTTGGGTCATCTTTCGATTATTCTATAAATAATGAACGCTCGCTTCCACATCTGTGTGGTTTGGGTATTAGCCAAGGTAAACAGTGATTACAAAGCGTCACGGAGCTATTCACTAACTGTACGCACGCTGAGTTGCGTAGTAAACTACATGGAGAGCGATGTGGGATGTCCTCTCGTAACGATTCTGTTTGAAGCCTAAATGGCTTTAGACATGCGTATTGTCCAAAGGAAACAGGAGGCAGTAGTTCGTTAATTGCTATCACAAAAGTGTAGACGGATTGAAACTTTTCTTTACTGATTCATACAGCAAGTAATTCACCATTTTTAGACCCGTCATCACGTGCCAAATTGCCTAGAGGACTATGTGGAAGTGTTCACTCGCCGTTTCGTTAAGGCTTTCTCTACACTACGTGATGGTTCTGGCGAAATCCATTTGAATGTGGACTGTGCTCATGGCGTGGGGGCGCTGGCATTGACCTCGCTCTCCTCACGTCTCTACTTAGCCTTTAAGGCGCCAACCTACCCCGTCGACAGTCCGCGCCTCTCTCTACATACCTATAACACACTCACCAGCGAGAAAGATCTTCTCAATCGAGGGTGTGGAGCCGACTTTGTTAAGGTCAGCCATAGACCTCATTCTCCATCTGAATGAAATTGGTCTATCCTTACGTTTTAAGAGATGAGACTGGTTACTATCAGTGATGGAGATCAATTTTAACTTCATTTTTGTAATCCTCTCATCCTTTTTCCCGTTTCGCCTTTGTCGACATCTGTTTTATTAAAAAATTAAGGGCAATAACTCTTCACCCATCTATGCTCCCTTAGTCGGCAGGATACTTATTCTATCCATTTGGCATGATCGAACCATGAAGAGTTCCAGAACGAACCCAATCTCGCTTGCTGTACTATTGTGAAGTCTCAGCACTTGCAATGGGTTTCCGTTCACTAGTATGAAAAACATTTTTACTTTTGTGTGGTTCGCACAACACCTCCATTGTGCTTATTATCAAAGTACGTTGTTTACACCTTGGATGCTTGCATAGTTAAAATAATAGTGCCTTTTTTTAACTTTATTTTTCTTCGTACTTAGTTGCTTCATTTTTCTTGTTACAGCTCCATATGGAGCGACCGGAGCTGACACCGCCAACATCGGATGCCGCGCCTTTTGCACCATCAACGCGGTGGGCCACAATTGATGGGGACGCAGACCGCTTGCTATACTTTTTCTGCCCTTTGGGCATGGAGGGCACCTCTCTGTGCCTACTAGACGGCGATCGCATCTCTATTCTCTTTACCGCCTTCATAGCCGATCGTCTGCGACTATCCCGAGAGGATGAGCTATGCCTCCAACTTGGTGTCGTTCAAACTGCATACGCTAATGCTGCTTCAACGCGTTACCTCCGCCAATGCCTCGGACCCGACGCTGCCAACTCAGTTGTGTGCACTCTCACTGGCGTGAAACATCTACATAAGGCCGCCAAGAATTTCGACTTTGGTGTCTACTTCGAAGCGAATGGGCATGGGACCGTCGTAGTGTCGGAGCGGGCACAAGACTATGTCTCAAGTCTGGAGGAAGATGATCCTTTGCGGCTCTTTGTATCGTTGTTAAATACGGCGGTGGGAGACGCACTAACTGACCTCCTTTTGGTGGAGTATGTGTTAGCAGCACGCGGCCTCTCCCTCGACCAATGGTTTGCCCTCTATCACGATCTGCCGTCGCGTCAACTTAAGGTTACAATCGCTGATCGAACCGTAATTCAGACCATCGATGCGGATCGCAAGGCCACACATCCACCGGGCTTACAAGTAAGCTTTTCTTTTACACTCCTTCCATTTTCTCATATATGTTACGGTTCTATTCTTACTGAGAGTTCATGCTACTCAGCTTGAGGTCACTGCTCCAATAAACTTGTTTTGAGATTGAACGCAGCGGAATAGTAGTAGAGGATCCTCCCAACTAGTAAATTATGGTAGTTAGTATGAAAACTCGGGTCCTGTTTCTGCTATTGTAATCATAGGGAGAACGCATCATTAAATGGTTGTCCTTTAATCGTCTGCCATTCCTTGCACCTATTCTATCACCGTAAATTTGCTATAATCTGATGCTGGATCCCATACATGCATAGCGCTGAACGCTTCCAAGGTTGCAATCTTCCCAAATGCTACACACACTGGCTTATGTTTGCAGCTGCGAACATAATCAGGCTACTGTACGTTTCGCTATCTAATTAAAAACCTTGTGCAGGAATGCATAAGTTCGCATGATATTGTTCACCAATCCATTTGTTTCCACCTGCTCGACCTCTCTCAACAAGGGAAATAATTGCAGTCTCAAACAAACCCTGTTTTGTCATTTTTACCCAGGATGAAATCGACTTCTTAATTAGAGAAGCGGATACAGCGGCGATGAAGTCGGGGCTGGCGACTTCAGGGGAGGGAGGGGGAACGTCTCGGGCTTTTGTGCGTTCCTCGGGCACGGAAGACGTGGTTCGCGTGTATGCTGAGTCTGCAACTCAGTCCCTCGCCGACTGGCTGGCTCAGAGCGTTGCCTGTCTTGTCTACCGGTACGCCAATGGCGTGGGGCCTGAGCCACCGGCCCCTGGACCTGTTCCTGTTTGAGATCCACCACCTACTCGTGCTCCTCTTGGCACAGCTCTACTTTTCACTTATTGTTAATCTAGGTTTACTCTAAGTATCTCACGCTTATGAATTGTGATGGGTATGCGGTGTCTGACCGCTTCACTGATAATTTCCAATAGGATTATTTGATCCAGAAACCTCTTTCATGGTTATAAAAACACGTTTCTCCGAAAAATAGGTTTACTGGACTTGTTGGACGGCTTTTTCGTCAGTATTTACGGACACATTCAACCTCAGATGGATGTCAGCACGTCCTTTTTACTGTTTTGTTATCTTTGTGGAAATTGAATGCATAAAGTTAGTCGAAGTTGAATCATGATAAGGTGTCAAGGTTCCCCATGAATCAAACTCCACTATAAATAGGTTCTTTTTCGACGACTTGTTGGATGCGGAGGCTTACGAACACACTCGCCTTGTTAATGATAACAATGAGAAGGAATTCCTTGACTTAGCTATTTCGTGAAATGCTTTTAAATCGAAAGTGAAAGCAAGAGGAAGCTAAAGAGTTACTAGGATTCACGTGGTTCCACATCAAATGGACCCACTGTGTGAGGTATTATCGGTTCAACATTTCAAGTAACAACGTAGGAACCATTTATCTTGACATTCAGGGTTTCGTATCCCCACTACATTTTATTCCTAACGCGTTTGTCACCAGTGCTGGAGGAAATTAACACCGCCATTGTTTGACGCTCCATTACAGGACTTATCACAATCAATTGACTAGTTATAACACAAGAGCCTACTGTCCTCATGGTAGGGACGTTTCGCGCCATTTTAGTTACTTTTTGGCGTCGAGTAAGGAGAAAGTGTTGCAGATGTACCACGTTGAGCATGGATGGGGCGTAGAGGAGGTCACATGGTGATAATGATTGCATTGTCTTAACATAAAGTCTTGTGACGCCGCGGCATTGTACAATTTAACTTGCCCCTTTGGAGTAGATTCAATGTAGTTACGCTTATCACATTAGAGGGTGGATTCTGCTGTCAAGATCTAAAAGTGTGGAACTTTTCAATACGATTATCGCTCTGATAATAGGAGCATTGCAAAAGACTGAGTACCTAGCTTCCATGGGCTCTGCTACCGTAATACGAAGGTCAGACATCAGGAGTCGACGCCTCATTGAAGGTTGAACTAAACAATAGCAGACGTTGGCTGACTAGAGCGTGATGGACTCTGGAGGTCAACAGACTGAGAAACCCAAGTGTTTTGGGCCCTATAATTGTTAGTGCGAGCACCTAGTTTGTTTTAACACGGTTAATTTTTTTATAATTTCATGCAGAACTCGAGGTAAACAGACACAACGTGGACAAATCAAACTTAGGCACCTTTTGCGCGAACAGACGGCGTCAATCGTAGGAGCAAATAAAAACTAATAAACAGGCCTAAATTCGGTGGTGTCTGTGCCGAATCTGTACACTAATCCCGTCAAATGCTTCCAGGACCCAAAGTAAATTTCCGTAACGATAAAAACCAATCCACACGATCTTCGTGGCGCCCATGGTAGTGGCGCCGTGAGGTGGTGTTTAAGATTCCCTAAATAGAGTCAACGACTAAGAACTTGGCGACAGCCAACAAATACAAGCCTTCATGAAAGCGTCCCTCATACAACAGAACTGCTTTTATCAACCTCGAAAGCAACTTAGGTGGCATTAATTATGTGTTCAATGCAAACGTACAGATGATGCTTGCCTTGTTCAATGGAGGTCCATTAACTATCAGAAGACTCGGTATTTAATGCAATTCAAGTGAAAAGCAAAGTGAACATTTCGAGTACTCACCGTACGGTGAGGAAATAAGTGAAGTGGAACTAGACGTACTCAGGTGAGAGTGAAGTCAGCTACTTGCATAAAGAAATCCAACCGGGGGCACTGCAAGCAGAAGCAAACGACATCACTAGAGTTGGCGGACAATTATGACATCGCCGGCAAGGAGACAGCACATTTCTCTCCAACAAAGGGCTTAGGACCCAAATCCATGACTGTCCACTCGTACTGGCGGTTTTCTGACACGGAACAGCGTTGAAGCAACCGCATCACCATAAATTTATCCCTTCCTTTTATTACCTTCAAGGTTTTCGGCTTCGATTCAAAATGCTTATCACTGCTTCAACTCGACAATCCCGGTTGTCATCAATTTGATGACCTCAACCATACCATTTCTCAGCCATGAACAAGTCTTCCTTTTCGCATATATTGGCTTGCCTTTTGTTGGGTAAAACAAGTACTTTGTGGATTTATAAGGCTCGGTCTCCTCCTGTATGCGCACAGAAGAATGCCTTCCTTTAAAGAAATCAACTGTGGCAATTGACCTGCCACCAACGACTTTTGAAATCGCCAAGGTCAGACGCACGACTCTCCAAGTTTCATCTTTAAAAGTGAACATTGACAATGAACAGCACTGCCGATACAAGTAAACATAACTCAAGTCAAAAGGAAACAAACTGGTTTTTAGATAAACCATGAAAAGAAATGATTTTATTAAAACCTAATAATTACCAAAATAAAGCCTCTTGATGCAATGAAAAAGGCAGACAAAAAAAAGTAGTGACGAGGTAGTGACGTTCATGAGAATAGGTTGGCGTGTTGCTCCCCGGTGGCCACAGTGTCCCTGGCCAACCATACGGCAAGGTTCTTCTTGCATTTCGCCACCAGTGATCTGGTAAACTTGCTGCGCACATAGGCGTCCCACTGCTCAAAGAGTGGCAGCACCTGAAACTGGATGAAGCCTGTCCCGCAGGGCAAGACGAGACTGGTTTTAAGGATAGTGGAGTGAAAGGAGGGCAAATTATGCAATCAGTAATAGTCAGCATCCATACCAACCGTTCTCAACGGTTTCTCCTCCTCAGGTTGAAAGGAGTGCTAAATAAACTTGAGTGCGCTTGAACCTTACCTTCGCATCGCTGTGAAAGCTGTCCACTAATGTATGCGTTTACAAGAAACCTGTTTACACAATGCCAAGCCTAAACATATTAGTGGTAAAGTGAAGGCGTATCAGACCCAAATAACTTCTTCGTCAGACTGTATCTGGGTACAAGCATTAATTCACTGTATTGAAACCAGTCTCATTGCGGCAGGTAAACCATCAGAGTTTTCTGCCGACGCAGAAACAAAATTCGTCAGCTACTTTCCATGTCAAGCACTTGGAGAATTCACACGGATGAAGAAGTGGGGGCCCGTCGAGTGTATTGACTTATGTAACTCATTAAACAACTAATTTGGGGCAAATAAAGCCTAAGCGATACCCTATGTCACTCGGTCAACTTATGCTAGGAAAATTTTCGTACCTCCCTTGATACTTTTGATCCACCTTTTATTCTCACATTTGTGTCCAGCTAAAGGCCATTTCCACTTCAATTTGTGATTTATTTGTTATTAGGTGGTTTCGCAAATATGCATTACTTATTTTATGTCCGTTCAAGAAAAAAGACCATTTAGAATACAAATTTCACCGTCTAAGGGGAAGGCAAAACATTGAAACATGCCGACTGGTCACTAGATCCGATACTTCTCTTCTCGATTTTCAAGGTCTGATAGTGAGAAGGACTAGTCACGAAAACCAATTTCATTGGTAAAATAAACCTTTTGTAAACTAACTTAGACGCGTTTTTTTGAGGTACACGCCTACTGAAAGTGGACATGCATACATTGACAGGAAGTAATGTAGCCATACCAATGATAAGAAGCGAGTATGCATTTGCCCATAACTTTAATTGAAGCAGAAACATTACCACATGAATCTCAAAAGATGAAAACTCATAACTGTTTATACGCAGGCATGCAGAGAGGGAGGTGGAAAAAGGAGGCCTACCAATTTGAACCTTGGCCTTGGTGGTTTTCTTGCGGTTCATGAGAGGCAAGACGGGGAGGGCAAGAAGGTTCTCTCTGTCGCCTTGCTGAAAGAACTCCTCAGTAATACAGTTGGCCCATTGAAGACAGGCCTCCCAGTGCCGACACGGGTTGGAGATATCCGCACACTTAATTGCCATCTACGATGAGGGTGTAGGTAGAATGAGAAGCATGATCTTTGCATCATACGTTCACAATGTAACATGGTACTACTTCACACAAGCAGAATTGCTATTCTATGCCACCAAATAAAATATTATGGACACAAACTATGAGTTGAAAGTTTGTCAATGAGCGGTCGTCTGAGAAAACCGAAAAATACGCTTTCAAAGTATTTGATAGATAGGCTCGTAGACCTGCAAAACAACAATAATAGAAGTGACTTGATTACAGAAAGGCTAAATACCAATCCTTCAACTGAATAACAAATTCTGCTACCTGAAACATTTTCGTACCGTTACCAATGCAAGTAACGAGCGTTCACTTGTGAACACAAGCTACAACTTCGATCAAGCCTCCAAAAGGAATCAGCAGAAGAGTAAAGAGGAAACAATGGAAACACGAAAATGCGCGTGCGCATCTGCGCACTAGAGTGAAATAAGATAGACGTAGTGACAATGTGCCGCATAACCCAGGGGTCAAAGTGATGGTAAATCACTCGTTTCAAATCTGTTATCTTTGACAGGCACATTTGTTTGCACCTATAAAAAAATTGGTACCTCCATTACAAGAGTAATATCTTCATAAGTAGGAAGGTAATTCTCGCAGAGGTAACGTCTTTCTGTCAGGTTCTTAAAAATGGATTGGGTGACAATATCAAACGACAAACGCACTTCCAATCGATCAAGATATTCCTCCTGTTTGGATATATCAGTAGCCAAAATCAAACGCTTTAAATGACACTTCATTTTTCTCCTAGAATACAAATGAGTATCCAACTATACCAAGTAAATAAAGGCGGCAACAAATACGACTGAAGATTTCATACCATCGACGAACAGAAAAGGTAGAAAAAACTTGAGATTGTAAGAGAACCGAGATACAAACATTTGAGTGATGATGCTCCAGAACTGATTCCTAGAGTTTCGGAAAATTCCTATAAAGGAATGCTTGAAAGCTGCCAACCTCATAAAATATGGATAGCATTTGTTTAGTTTTAATGAGGAATGCCTGATTGACTCCTGGATGGTCAATATCATGACAAATAGCAGCCAAGAGGGCACACATAAAGTCAAAAGCGGAGATAAATCCCTCTACACGCAGTCGTTTGAGTAGACAGTAGGTAGCTTGTGTAACATCAGCAGCGTGAAGTGCGTTGTGATAAGGATTGTTTTCATGATACAAATCCTCAATTTGACCTAAAACTATGTAGAAAACAGAAAAATACGTACGAAGAAGTCGAACAAACAAAAAATAATCGAGATGAAATTTCTGAAGAAACTTCGACTTTTCAAATAGGTATCTGCCGATGGCGAGAAGAGGGAAGCCTAACCTGAGGTGAGAACTAGGAAGCAAATATACCCGCCGTAAGTCGGTCGAGGGTGAAGAGGTTGAAATTCCAGTGCAAAAGTGGCTGAAGAAGACTCTGCCAAGAGGATTGTATAAAAAGTACAATCAAAAAGCAAACCTGACGATCTACAAAGTAGCTTTCATCAAGAAGGCAATGAAAGCAACGCGATCGTCGTTTGTTCTTAAAGTCACTGGTCTTCAATTTTGGTCTAAAACACGCCGTTATGACAATTTATGTCTCAGAAAGGATGGAAAAGTCTACGTTGCATTAAAACTAACTTGAAGAGCAATATAAGACCTTAAGGCAACTAGAAACAGTATATATCAATCAAGCAATGCAAAATTAATTCCCGTTTACATGTCTACGTAGGCGCAAAAAATCAACAGATAAACAGGCAGCTTAAGACAAGGTGATAATCGTTTCTAACACCAGCATTGGGTGTCAATAAGAGCTTACGCGACGATTAAAATGGTAAAATTAATCGCTCAAATTCGCGTGACTTGAGGAAAAGTGCGTTACACAAGTAGATGAATTGAATGCTCCAAACTTCATTTATGGTAGAGAATATATATTTGCAATTTAATAGGGAATTATTATTTGGTTAAAATGATCTGAGCACAGTCGTTCTTTTAACAACCAAGGCTCCTGACCTGCCCCCCATGATCGAGACCCACGCGGTTATTTATTCATAACAAAGTTAAAATACCCGCGATGGTATCGGGACGCTTTGATAATAAATTGATAAGGTAAAAATCCTTCGTTTAAGCGGAGTAAAGTAATGGTTTATCAATGAAAATCCAATGTCCATTTTGTGCAGTTATATTGTAGAAGTGTCACATAAGGCAGATCCGCAGGAAAAATGGGGAAGTCTCGGGACGCTACAGAACATGGCCGGCTGCCGAATGACAATGTTGTTTCTCGACGTAGTCTTATTCACATCCTAAGCCTTTCATGGAACCGCTCACCTTTAGCGCCATGAAACTGTCAGCCATGTATATAAAGGATTCAGTTGGGCTAAAAGCAAGTGTAGCTTCTCCAATCTTCTCATCGAGTAGAAGAAGTTATTAAGCGGTGCTGAATGCCTTGTCCGATTTTGACTCGAATGTTAGCCTATGTGTACAAGGACCAGACAAATCCCAAAGTAACCAGTGGACAGTATTTGGTCGTATCATCCATCCACGGATGATAAGAAGGGATTAAGTCTTGGCTTGGCCATGTAATGCTTTGTTTATCTGGCTACCTGACGTTTGGCGGACCATACCCAGGTCCATTTGCCCTGTCGTCTTCAGAATGCATGTATCCGTAAGAGCTGCCTGCCTACTCTCCTGCCCTTGAGCCCCGGACTTCAAGAGAGGGTTGGTTGCAGATGATTTATTTGCACTCATTACAGGGAGAATGTGGATTGGGATGCAGATGAGCCGAATAGGAGGTATCAACTGGAGAGATAATACTCACCGTCTTCGCGCATATGATTCGCGTTCCCAAATGGTTCCTGCCCCTCTCCTCTACAAGTCTACTTAAACAAACTAGTATATATTACAGTATTCAGCTTCACTTACTGACTTCTTATACCTGCCAGGAGGTCTCGGGACACTATAGGCCAAAGGCCAGCCCACGAGTACAAGTACAGGTCAAACACCAAAGTAACAGTCAGACATAAGGGCCATTAAACAAACAAATCACTACACAACCTGTCACACTTCCAAATGGCTTATTAGAATTTCAGAGTTCCGAAGCACTAAAATCCACAAAACTCCTTCCTCCATCGTAGCACTACCTTGGCAACCCTCACAATACTTAAATTCATTCATTCATTCACTTAAAGCAGTGAAGCGATGCTTCTCTGTTCACCGACTTTTGCGATACGAAACGTTGAGGCCAGCGTTCCACCCCTTGTGGTGGATACAGACGCAACTGATGCAGCCGTGGCTGGTGCATTCTTGCGAAGGGACAAGAATGGAGGTGAATTCTTCATCGCCTGGATCAGAACCATACTCAACAAAAGTGGGGCAAATAAGTGCAACAAAACCTGACCTGTACGTTGCCCATTCAGTGGATGGAAACGCCAAACATCTGCCGATAGTGAGATGGTTCAGAGTGTAAGTAGATCATCAAACGTATGCTAGACTGAAGGAAATAAAGGTGACAGAACGTTTGTTTAAACGCTGATGAGGGAATCTGCGGAAATATGACTTCGCAGTTCAATATAGAAGAGAAGATAAGCTTGATAAAACGAAAGCGCAGTCAATCAGGCCAATCTCAGTAGAAAAGGGTAGTGTTATGGTTAGTGCCATTTTTGAGTCAACCTATCAAATTTCATTGGAGGAGTACTCAAAGTGCTGAACATGGCAAGGACTTAACATACAATAGGATTCTGGTATCCTCTTATAATCCTACTGTGAAGAAGATGTGCTCTACCGGCAGGTCAACCGAGCAGATATGGCAAAAATGGGCGAAAGTCTACCTAGAAGATGAGATTGCATAATGCTAAGGAGGCATCGTGTCGCCTGAGCTCCTTGTGGACCCAGACGAGTTATTGGAAGCGTTTCTTTAGGATTTGCAGCAGCAAATGGATCATGTGGGTGAAATAAAGATGGTTGATGCCTCGAGTAAAAGACACTGGCAGCTCTTCAGCGCATCAGACTTCTGGCATTCCCGCATTGCTTGCAGTAGTTCAAAAGCATCACCCTATAATTATTGCACTTCTCCAATTCATGTCGATAGAGTGTCCAGGCTCACTGCCAGCCACCAGGTGTGGAAATTGACACATTTTGGTTATAATTGACTTCTTCATGAGGGCATCTCAGACCAAACACACAAAGGCGCAACATCCCTTACTCACTAAATCCATCAGCAGGAAGCGCCCATACTTATCCACGGTACAGAACGACCAACTACCCGCAACGTGAAAAAGAAAACAAAAACACATCACACCCTCAGTGAAATATGGAAGGCTTTTACCACGAAAGTGCAGTCAGAAGATGGGGATTGAAGTCTTGGGTGCACTTTCCATGCATACAAGATTACGGTCCTTCCCAAAACCTTCTTACCAAACAAGAAAATATCAACTTACAATGCCCTGAAGTAAGTAATATACCAGAAAGATGGCAATACAAAAAACTTTTAGTATCGCACAGAGACAAGTGCAAGCATCTTGTATCAAACGAAATTAAAATGTCTGGCGTGAAGAAGACTCAGTTCAGATACACAAACTGATTTTCCCACCCCAAAGCCACCGTAAATCCCACTCGTTTCCTCACCCACAAACTACCGCAACTGTAAAAAAAACCTACGCATGAAACAGGTAAACGTCCATCACCACGAGATACAACTATATGAGGGCGTCTACGCAGTTGGATACGAAGGTGAAGTCCACGCAGCAGCAGAGTGTAAGCCCCTATGAGGTCATTTACAACAACCCACAAAGTTGGCATCGGAGACGATGATCGAAGAACAGGGAAACTATTTAGCATCTATATTATTTTAAATGGTGACTTTAGAAAGATGGTAAGGCTGAAAATCGACCTCGTTCTCGGGGAGAGAGAAAACCCCTCTGAAACCGGGCGAGGCCACACAAGGCTCTCATTCTAATACCTTAACAGCACCCCTGTTAACTCCAGACTGGTAAGGATGTCCCAAAACGACCAACTTCCTGGCCTAGGGTATAGCTGCAGAGAAGGGGGAGAAGGATTAAATGTCTACAATACTAGTATCCAAATGGCTAGTAGCTACCTTGGTTGTAAGCTAGTCCTGCTAAAGCCTGACAGCAACGCCGTAGAAAACGTCTTGAAGGATGAAATCAAGGAGTCGATTTACCAAAGCATGTACTGAGGGAAAGCAATACAAATATACAAAATCAGTTGTGGATTACAAAACTTATTGGCACGCCTTAATATAATTTAACAAAACGCCACGATCCAGATTGCGACCTGAAATTAACGAGAACAATTGAGAGTATCAATCAAAGCAGTACGAAATGATTAGATGAGCTAAGACCCAATAAACTCCACCTGCCTTAGAAAACATGTCCCTTAATTTTCAGCATACAGTGAACCTACCGATGAATACCAGTCGTACACCGATCGGTCCAATTTTTTCCGCGCCTGATGGTGAGATCAAGAAGATATCATATAGCTCGTTGACACATTGGACGGAACTCGGCACAGCATCACCAATGAAATGGACAATACCCTGCATAGTGGAATCCAAATAGGTCTTAACTGTCTTGTGAAAGCATTAGTTATGAAAGGCGTGCAGCATTGTGAAAGGCGTCACTATCAAGAGCTGGAAATGTGCAGTGTGAAAAAGACTTCCCTAGTATCTTAGTAAGAACTTAGTCTAAGTTAATAAAGTTTTATTAAAGAAATAGTCAAATGCACATTAACAGTTAAATTGTCGAGTGTACGTGAAATGCAATACCTTTATTCGCATAACCTCCATAACTGCGCCGGAACTGTTGCGAACGATTTTTTCCCATTGTAATTGCTCGATGAAGTCTTCAAATTTTTTGCGATCCAACTGAAGGACCTCCTCTATGGTTATAGTGGTAATTGCCTGTAAGTGGGGTCACCTGGATGAAGGAGAAACTATGACATACGTGATCAAGGTGAGGCTTCCGTGGAATGAGAGAGGGGCGCAAATCATCAAAAATGGTGCTATAGGCAACATAATTTGGTTTCGGCAAAAGATATCCTACCTTGAAGAATATAAATTTAAATCCAGTATTTCAGAAAGATCAACTCTAAAAATAGGAAGACAGATACGTAGTGTCAACATATTTGGCCCACCAAAGTTGAACATTCATAACTTTAAGACCAAAACCAACGGTTACAGACAAGCAAGATAAAAGCAAAAATGAAAAGAAGCGCACCTTGCATACGACGTTTTAATGAGTTTTGCCGTAGCATTGATAAATCTATGGCAAGAAATCACATGCAGTTAAAATATAAAACGCCGAAAACAGCATAGGTACAAAGCAGAAAACTTTTAAAGTAACTCAGAAATTAACCCGAGAAAAAGAAAGAGAAAAGTGCGCTTGCCTTAAGTGATCCTCCAGAAAACGCATTTCTTCATCTGCTACCAAATCAGTTTTATTTAGCACCAGAACATCGGCCAGCGCGATTTGTCTAGACAGTTCGTTAAAACGAAGACAAACCTTTCACACGCATTCACGGTCTCAGAGCTGTCATCATTATTCAATGTTTTAAGGCAATACTTAGCATCAAGCAGAGTAGTTATGCCATCTAAAGCGATCTGACTGCACAAACTCTCGTCCAACCAAAACAGAGCTGCTATAGGTCCTGGGTCGGCAAGACCGGTTGTTTCCAGCATAATGTAATCAAATTTCCCGCGATTTTTCATAAGGTTTTCGATTGCCTTTACACCGGGATCCTTCAAGGAACAACACAAACAGCCGTTCCTAAGTTCCAACCACTCCTCAAATAATCCATCGGAATTATCCCTCAACGCAGATGTAAACTCTGCAGCTGATCCCTCTCCAAAATCGTTGAGAATTACGGCAATTCTTTTGCCATGTGCAGCCGTTAAAACATATTTTATTAGTGTTGTTTTACCCGCACCTGGAAAATATGCATCAACAACAAAAGCTTACCTAAAAATCCAGTCACAATTGTAACAGGCACTTTGTTTATCTTCTCATCGTCACCATCATCCGTCTCAACAAGGGCTGGTATATCCTCAGATGACATTAAGCAAGAAGCGAGCCGGCGAGTGGACGCTAACCCCTCTGATTTGTAATCGCGCCATTTACATAAAAATAAAAACAAAATATTCAAATGCACCTAAATTGTTGTAAATTATTATATAACTTTACATTTGCTTGCAGGAACTTTAGCTAATTACAGATAAGGCTGTCTGGAAAGGCTTAAATTTTGTAAAGTGGTGTCCACCAATAACCTTGCTGTACACACTTGGTCGCTGCCTGTCGCCTGGTTGAGTCGCGATGTCATTCCAGCATGCGGTTCGACCGCCGTTTAATGGTATATTTATAATTCGCCTTCCCTTGATCTAGATGTACACTCGAGGTTGATGCTTAAAAATGGGCGTGAAGATATTTTTTCACCCCGTTTTTCATATTTGAGAAATAGCTGAAATTAGTTTATCATTTAGCTAAGGGTATCAGCAGAGCAAGGCACTGGTATCACTCTCAGAACTTGGAGACATTCAAATTTTATTGTCGACTGACTTCTAGTCCTTATTTGATTTTGTTTTCCGTCGTCTTGATTCATTTTCCATGCAATCCTAAAATTTCAATTGGTGTGTGAACTATAGCGGCCGCTCGTGGGCCACCTGGTCAAAATATGCAACAAATGGGAAATCGACGGGTAGTTCCCTCTGATCCTCGCTTGCACCAAATGGTTGGGAAGAATCAATTTAAGTGAGTTTCAATGTAACACTGTTAGTTGCTGTGTCATACGTCTCTCTGTGCTTCATCATTAACTTCTCCATGAGATGTATCCACATTCTTGTCTTTCTTGTCCCTCTCAGCCCCAAAACTGTCGTTTGTTTTAGTAAGAAAAAACGCCGCATGGCTGATCGCCTTTTAACCAAAACCGTTCGTCAAATTATTCCTGAATCAGAGTCGTACATGGAACTGCTTGAAGTGGAAAAGAAGCTTGACCTCGTTTTAATGCGAAAACGGCTAACTTTACAGGAATCACTCAAGCAACCACTCAAGGTTGGTTATTCCTGTTCTACTATGCGTAACATTGCTCCATTCCAGGTTCTCTCAAGCAGTTCTTTTTAATCCGTTTTAGACTAAGCGGATCCTCCGAGTTATGTTGAGTAGTACATTCAAGCCTGGTAGCATCGATTCCATTGGTCCTGATGGGCAGCCCACCAATGATGGCTGTCCCCCTGGTTGGGAACTGAAAGTTGAGGGTCAACTTTTAGAAAAGGTGAATTTACAGTATTCATCACTAATCCTCCATGCCTTTTGTCTCGGACTATATACTCTTGACATATTCGGAAATATCGTTTCACATTGCCAGGATAGTTCCTCACTTCCATCTTTATCCTTTAGCCTTCTGGCCAACCCAACGGCCCCCCTACAGTTGACACTAGATTTCGTCGCAAATTTTCTACTTTCTTCAAGTCTCTGGTCATTGAACTTGATCATGAACTCTATGGACCGGACAACCACTTGGTCGAGTGGCATCGTACGTCATCTACTACAGAAACTGATGGATTCCAGGTAGCAATTCTTTTTCCGATTTTTAATTTTACTAGTTATTTCCAATGCGTTAAGCAACTGGCTAGTTGCACCTAAATTTACGGTAATGTCCCCAGACATGTTTCTATTGGTGGTCTCCTTAGGCTTTTCCTGTCTCCACGGCTTAGAAAGTAGATTAGCTGCAGTTGTGCTCACTGTGTCCGTTTGTACACTCGGATGAGCTTTTCACTCGCATATGTAGGATGGGTTAAGGTTTTATGACTTTTTTGAAACAGTCCGTTCTCGTTATGCGAAGGTGAAGCGGTCAGGGGACAGCAATGTGCGTTGCACCATTCTCTTGATGTTGGATTACCAGCCACCTCAGTACAAATTAGATCCCCGCCTTGCTCGCATCCTCGGACTTCATACGGGCACTCGATCGCAGATTTTTTATGCCCTCTGGAACTACATTAAGGTTCACAGGTGGTCCAAGCTTTTCTACTTATATATCCGTAAGTAGCATCTGACTTATATGGTGAGAATTTGCAGGCTACAAGACTCACACGAAAAGGACTTCATTAACTGCGACGCCTACCTGGAGCAGGTCTTTGGTTGTGCTAGGATGCGTTTCGCAGAAATCCCCAGTCGTTTGATTCAACTGCAACAGGCTCCAGACCCCATTGTTATCAATCATGTCATCGTGAACGATCCTGAGGACCCCAATAAGACTCTGTGCTACGACATAGAAGTAGAAGTTGTAGGTCGTAGTTCTTGACATAATCTTTGATCAAATATTTTTCTCGCAAAACTCGGTACTGTCATTGAACGTGGTCTAGTGCTTTGAGCGAACTCATGGAACAAGGGCATTTTACTAGGATTTCTACATTCGAACATTAAACGTTTGCTTGCTTAAATTTCGATAACTTCTTCCTTACGGGGGCCTGATTGCCAATCTGAATTTCATGCCATAGCGCCATTGCTTTTCCTTTTCCGACTTCGAACGACTTTATCTGTTTTTCCTTCGCTTACAGGACGATGCGTACAAGTCAATGGTGCAAAACTATCTTCAAAACACTCAGTCAAATCAGGAGTTAATGGCTATTGACAACAAAGTAAGCTGTTCTATGAGAATCTTGCTTTCCACGGTTCCATAATATGCATAGCCCTATATCTATGGGTCGCATCCATGGTGAAAAATATATAGGTTACTGCTTTTCTAGCAGGCATTTTCAATCCTCACCAATCGGAGTCATCAAGAAATATCGCTATAAGGCGAGAAGTTAGATTTGTCTTTAACTTTTTATTGTTTAGATTCATGAGTTGGTGGAACAGATAAACCAGATGAAAGTGCATCGGGAGTTTTATCTAGAGTTCAGTCAAGATCCTCACACCTTCATAACCCGCTGGCTGGCGAGCCAGTCGCACGACCTGCAGCAGATGACTGACGCCACACCGGGACATCCAGAGCAGGAACGCCACGCGGACTTCTACGACGCCTCCTGGGTGTACGAGGCCGTGAAGCGCTACCTCTATAATCGGGTTTGTCTCCTTCCCATTTTAACCTTACTTTTACCTCCTTTACCACCTGACCAACTCAACCATTGTACCGGATCTCTGTCGAGCCCATAAGAGCCCTTGCAGACGTTAAATAGGCAAACGACTTCGATGTACGCTGTGCACGGTGACTATTGTTGATATTGTGGTGGAATGAGATCCGCATCATTCATCGCTACAGAGATAGTGGATAGATGTAACATTCACAGTCAAGTGCTTACTCATTGCACGCCCCATTTCGCTTTCGATATTCTTCTCCGTTGGTTTTACTAAACTTCACTCGTAGATACATAAATCAGGAAGTGGAGGATGATAATGTTCAACCAGCCGTCCGGAACGGAATACTTTGACCTATTTTGTGATTTTCTTTCTCACTCTTAGATTGAATGCCTAGCTGATTTACAATGGTTAATCGCGAGCTTAATTGGTAATTTGCAATCTCTAACAGACAGTTCAGATTTTCACTTACTGGCATCCCTGAGCTTTTTTTTTAACCAGGTTACTTATCGTATATGTTTCTGTCACACATCTGCCTTTTTCACTGAGATCTAATTAAACTGTGGTGACCTTGTTTTGTTCTGGCTGGAGTTGCTGTTTGGACCTCTAATTCATTTAGATATCTTAGTGCTCCTAGCTCCCAGCTACTAGCCCCAAGAGCTGTGATTTCGCAGTCTTTTGATGCAATGAATAAACAACTGTGGTGTTTTTATTAGGCACTGCAGACCTTACATCGAACTCCGTAGTCCGTTGAGGCGAAATCATTGCTGCATAACTGAACTTTTCAGATGGTAGTAGACTTTTTGAACTAGCAGTCACTTGGTTAATAATGTTTCACATCATTTGCGTACATGGCATTTGTTGTTTTTTGATATGATGCACGGTGTCTTCATGACTGTGTAAGGTTGTGGATTTTTGGTACAACTACATACCATTCTGCTCGTTTAACTGAACAATGAAGTGGGATCTCGGACCTTGTTTTGATTCTAGAGAGATACCTGTAACCAAAACTACTATTATAGGCATCCGGTCGGTTGCTAAATCATGAATTCACCTGACGCCTGGTTTGCATGCATTTCAGGTGGTCCAGCGCAGACAGGAGTTGGAGCACGCCCTCAACCTAAGCGGTCAATGAGGAGGTCTCAATGTCTTCACATTGTCCCTTTTTGTTTATCTTAGTGCTCGTCTCCTTCAAGTTTTCCTTTTTTTCTCCTTGTTACAAACGCATGACAGAACGTCTCGGTTAACCTCAAGGATTGTCATGAAACGTGTACATGTCTTTTTGTCAAGGTTGTTTCACATTGTTGTCACTTTAAGTATTTCTTGAATGGGGCATTGATGACGCTTTCTCGCGGTGTCAGAGAACGTAAGTTTGCTAAAGGTGAATTGTGGGAGCTGAGTTGCAACATTGTATTCTCTGCCCTCAGAGATGTTTGTGGAATCCACCATCTTTATTTACAATTTTTGATTGAAAGTCTCTTTAAGCTGTATGGGAACTCCCTTACGGGAGGAATCACTGGTTTGAAGGTGTGCAAAACGATGTGAGTAGTTGCGGTGGCTCTGTGTTATGTTTTTAGGCATAAATCGGAGGCGATGATGAAATGATTAGTCTTTGCTCAAGCAAAATTTAGGATGAGTTTATTGACTGCTTGATACACCTGCTACTCTGGGTTTATTAGTTTTTTGTTCTTTGTCGTGTCAGGTCTTGCTCCCGCATTAGGCCGTATGCGCCTCCAAGCTTTGGCGATAGTACGCTGGGAGAGTATTTGACCGTAGTTCAACGTTTTCGCAGCTTCGCCAAGAGATGCAACTGATGACGATTGGCACTTGAGGATTTTCCAACTGCCTAGTGTAATCGCTATTTCTGATTTGATGTTTTGTTAATGTTTGATCACTGGAAGAACCGAGAGGTGGAAGAGTACCGGAAGTAAGAAAGTCAAACAGTTGATTGGGATTTTGCGGTGGAAAATGCAGGCGTGGCGCATGCACAATCACACCTGAGGGAGAGATTTCATCCATTCTGATGAACATTGGCTGGCTGCCCAACGTTTTGAAGTGAGGAGAGACAATAAATTATTTGACTCGATGTTGCATCACCTTAACGCTTGACATTAACATCGAACCGTTAGTTAGGAATGCAGTCCACCAATGGGTTGGATACGAGGATAACTAAGCTGGATTAAGTATTAACAGAAAACCCATCCTAAGGCTGTAAAATACTGACATCATTTCAATGAAACTGGATAATTTGGGTTAATCTGTTACATTACCGATGTCCAAAGTTTTTTGTTACGCAGATTTTTTTGCTCAAGAAACCAAAAAGTTACTCTAAGCAAAGCTATCTCTACAGTGGAAAGTGGGAAGAGTAGGTGGTTGGGGATTTTTGTGTGCTGTGTGGGAGCACTTGTAGTCCTGATAGTCGTGTCGGGTTGTCACTCCTGTTGGGCGACGCTGGTCTGCGAGCATACCGGCTGGAGTGAATGCATAAACATGAGGGTTATTAACCGCATCCAGAATGCTCTGCCCTCGTAACGCAGTCATGATGGCGGTCTAGACGAGCCTTAAGCGATTTTTAAGTCCTAAAGAAATCGAGGGGATTGGAGAATAGTCGATTTCACATGAATATCGGCTCATTGTTTTGTTAAATGTAGTAAAGAATTCTGGAAGATTAAACCGTAGTTAATTATAATGTTTCCTCAAGACGTCTGCTTTTGGATCTCTTTCCCGTGGAGACTATTGCATGGGCACAACACGTCCACCGCGAGTAAGAGGAAGACAAGGGAAGGAGTTGAGGGATTTTTCATAATAAACAAGGTAAATCGCAGGCACAAAACCGCTCGCGTGAAGCTAGTCTACGCAAAGTTTCTCCACTGTGAAAGACGTCGCATATGGGTGAGTTCTGAGCCGGTAAAGTTGCCGTACCAATTGATAGCACCCCTCCCATAGTCTAAAGGGTTTATGTTGGTTGGATGTCCACCCAAGGTCAATCCTTGAGCAAGGCTGCCGGGACCCATACCAACTGCACGTTGATTGGCCGCATGTCTGAGCTCACTGGCAACGCGGGTCATGGCCAGACTGAGTCGTCGAACCTCAAGAAGTCCGACAGACGCCCGAGACGGCTGATGAGATGACTCTGTAATGTGTTCTTCCTGCTCCTTTCCTTTCTCTATCGCCTCTTCTGACCCCGCCTCACCACTTGTCTTAGTGCCTTTGTGATCACTATGCGATTCCTCCATTGCTACCACCCTGAGAATCTCGTTCATTGTGAACTTGTTGGGCTGGGATCGGCTCCAGAAACAGCTCTGTAGAATAAACCCAACTGAACAGATGAGGAGAACACAGCCGGAGGAGAGAAGAAGGTGGAGATGTACCAAAGCACCGACGAAGCAGAAGACGATGCCTAGAATGAGCATTAAGAGGGGGAACATTTGGCACATCACAACGTTCAAAAGGGCTCGTGCACGTTTACGTAGTCGTCTCCGCTTGCGTTGTTTGAGGAGGTCGTGTAGGGTACGTGGTCGGAGAGGGCGGGCAGTGCTCACCTTCTCATCCCGAAGGGTGCTCGTCGATGGACTGTGGCTTTCGTCACTCTGTCGCGTCATTCCAGCAGCAAATACCGTCGCATCTCCCTACAGAGGCGCGCGCTGTTTGCCCACACGCACCTCTCTACATCAATGGCAGCGTCTCTGTCCAATCGGAGGGCAGGTGGTGGCATTTAAAATGGAAAGGAGGACTGCTCGAGTGGAATCCGGACCTCTTGCTTGTTCGTTTGTTTGAATATTTTGCACATCGGAAAGGTGTAGAGGTAAGCGAAAAAAAGAACAGAGGAAGGAACGCTCCTGTCAAAGGTGTCTGCGTTTAATGAATGGTTCCATTAAATCCGCTCGAGGATCGGAACTTACTTTTTTCCCGCCATGCCTTTAAGGCTTTTGCGATTGCAAGGAATTACGCGCATTAAATTTAAAAAGTTATTTGTAATGGACGCGGCGTGTTTATTTTTGAACTTCCTCTTTCTATGCAATAGCGATTGCAGGTATGCGAAGCATGTTTGTGAATAGCGACTTCTCCCCGTCTATCAACGCATTTGCCGCCAACGATCAATTTGAGTTGCAGATTTCATCAAACGCATCTCAAAGTTTGGCATTTGAGAGCTCTGTTAAGCATTGAGGGAGAGGGAATTCGAGTGCTTAAACTCATTTTCGCTATTCATGCTGAGTTTATTCTGGTAAATTTGTTTCCAGCATTACTTGAGTCAACCTTACCAATTACGTTTATACTGTCCATGGCCATGACGTTCTTCAGAATATATGGAGATCTGCCAGGACAGGATGTGTAGTGTTTGACGAAAGTTGGGACTGGAGCTATTGGCATTACCTCAGAGTCCTTGAACGATTATTTTTGTAAAAACCAAGAGTTAACCAAATGATCAACTAATTACACAGTCTCTCATATTTAAGAGTCGTCTCTGAGGTTCCACTGCCTCAACCTGCTGTGTCGAACCACTACAACACAATCGGCGCAGCTGTCTGCCCACTCGGGAGCTAACCGCGCCGGCCATCGAATTTTCATGTAACTAAGATGACTAGGGTCTAGGGGATGTGACGGTTATCACGAATGCTTGCTACTAGCCGTAGGGGCATTGGACCTAAATGCAGGATAGCACAACAAAAAATGGACTTCATAATGGTTCCTTTGGGTAGAGTTTTCCCCTTATTCCTCCTCACCACATTGTTTTCACCTCAGTGCTACTCAGCCACACCCATCTGCGTTCTGTGTGACCAGTAGCGTTTTCACTCACCTGGCATGTCATGGAGGTGCCAATGGCATCGCCTGATGCGATTCACTTTATTAGTGCACACGGACTGCGGGATCGAGGTAGTTGTTGGAGGTGGACACCGACGCCCTTTGCATATGCCTTCTGCCTCGCTGACGCCTGCCATATGACTGCAGAAATTCAGGTGGGGATGGGGTGTTCTCTTAAGGCCAAGCGCCCCATTTACTCCCATCAATGATGTGCATTAAGGCTTGAAATGGAGGCTTGGACCAAAGCCCAATGCTGGAGTTCAGGTCAATCTGCGAGTGTACAATGACGAAGTATTTTAATGTAGTGCCAAATAAGCAATCAACTTAGCGAATTCGTTTATCAAATGGCATTATTATTTTCCTAGCTTCTTGACTTAGGGATCCAGTGTCTTGCTTTTTTTTTCGGAAGGAAAGCAAACTGCAAATATGGTTTGACTATTGTGCAGTAAACTTTTTCCCCATTTTTGTCTATGTAAAAGGGAATAAAAGTACTTTCTTGCCCCGCGCCGAGAAGCCGTTTTGTTTTTTTTTTACTAGTTCAACGTTTAACTAATTCAGTGTTATACAGAGGAACTGATGTCGAGAACAGACTTTTGAGGTTTTGTTCAAAAAAGTTCTCCTAAGGTTGGTAATTGAGGAGGTTCGTGTAGGCAGCTTCGGAATTGCTGATATCCCATAATTCATCCCTCAAAGGTTTTGCCTCTTGCTTTGACCTTAAACTTATGTGGCCAAACCTTGCAACTTCAGTTAAAGGCAAGACCAAGACAAACAGCATTCCAACCTCCGCGGTGCTATCAAATAAAAGCACCTTTTGTAAGTTCAACCATTTGTTTGTTACTTCCTGCCAACCGCACTGTTGAAGTTTGTTAGTGACTAATAAGTTTATGCAAAAATAAGGGTGCGTTATTGCCTTCCACCTCACCTAGATTCTCCACCTAGTTTTAAATCAACTAAAGCAACATAATAAAGAAAGCGAAACCACCGGAGTTGCGAAGGGCACAAAGGGGAGCGCTCATTTGATGTCAACACCTTCTGTCGAAGATGTTCGATGGTGTCATGGTCGAATGTGTACACAGTCACGAACGACACTGGTTTTGCAACAATTCGGGGCAAGCAACTTTGAATACAGCGTTCTCATCTCTTGCTCTGCCCCTGTTTGATAAATTGAGGAGACAATTAGATTGGCGTACTGAGAGGTGATCAACGGCGCTATCAAGACTGTTGGCATTGCACTCTGCCGTCCACTAACCTTTAATTTCGTGTTGCACCAGTGCATAGGCACGCCATGGCAGAGGATAGAACTTAGGCCAAATCAAAACTTGACAAAGGGAAGTTGTCATTGATACGTCTATTGGTATTGCGGATCAAAGATGAGTTTTCTGTGAGGCCTGCCAAGATTTCCCTGAAGGCATGAGAAGGCATTAGGTTCTGACGGGATGAGTGTTTTCGACTTAGGAAGGAGCCGAAGGACTACCTATAGGAGAGTCGAACGAAAATGCGATAATGGAAGTTCAAAGTGTGTCACTCTGCCGAATTCGAAAGTCAAATAAGGAAGTACCGCCTTGCATCCAAACTGGAGCCAAACACTGGTACTGCGTCAGAGGAGTGGCGACCTTTTGTCGATTTAGCTTGTAATATGCATTAGCTAAACATTGACCAGGAAAAATGGCGATGCTGCTGTTTCAGGTCAGCATTAAATCACTGTTTGACAGCACAATACCCTCCCATACCACCCAAACTGATGTCGCGAGTTGGATAGCAAAAACTCCCTCAAAGTATATGCACTGCTCCAAACACCTGTTTGCCTTTGGAGTTGTTTTAAGGGAATAAGTCCCAAATTATAGCCATTTGTTCTCTTGTAGAAAAACAAAACCTTTTATTAGACAAATTAAGCCTCCTCTAGTAGTGGCCTACCAGGCTGAGTCGATGAGCCACAGTTTGGCTTTGTTTTCCCGTTCCATATGCTGGGCCTGAACATCTGTCTAACCGATTGAGTAACCTTTGAAGCAGTGAAAATCAGCTGCTCCACCTTAATACGTCGATGTAATTGTGTAGTGAAGGGTGAGCTGGGAGAGGAGTGAACACGCTCCAAGTTTTCCTGGCTGCCGCCTGTAAGAGCTTTTTAGGCTGCGATCAACTGCACATCTGCTTTACCCCAACTCCGTACTTTGTCACATGGACTTCAGCATGGCACAGTTTAGAATCAGAGCATGCGTTCCTCAAGGCGGTGAGGCAAAATGCACAATTTGCTGAAAAGCTGCTTAGCCAGAAGGGATTCGACTATGCGATAAAAATGTCGCCTTCATAGTTGTTCAGGCTTTCAGATTAATCATTATGCTTGGCTAAGCTTCGATGTCCGCTACCTCATCTACAGCCTCGTTTTTCTCTTTTTGTTAGGGTTCACTTTGATAACTCCACCACTCAGTTAGTGTGTTTGCGCGATGGCCTTAAAATGGCGTCTGGCAAAATGATTGGGTAGGACAAGGCAATCTACCTGAATTTGTAGTTGCTAAATCATCTTTCGGGTTATGGTCCAACAAATGGGAAGTAAAATACTTATTCAACAAGAGCAACGTTGCCAAGACGTACTTTTACGAGCCACTTAACGTCACGATAGGCATTTAAGCAAGTAGCCAAATCGGAATGCCAAAAAAAAGCTATGAAGGGCTGCATGTTGGTTTGAATGGTTCAACGATTTCAATGTCCTCAATTGCAGCCCCCAATGTACACTCGCTGTATATTCTTATTTCCATCGCCTTCCCTTACCGACTACGCACAACTTAACACTCTTCACTGGATATATTTTCCTACAGCGAATTTATGCTACAAGCACCAGACGAGCCAATTAATGAAAACGGTCAGTCACTGCCATTAATGAGCACTTTTGAAGCCTTCACAATGAAAGGCATTGCTAGCCGTTTTAAGGGCTGTGTACTGTCACCGTTGCCGATGTCTTCATCTTTCTGCACTGTTGTCCGCTAGTCAGTGAGAGAACCTTTACGATGACTGCATTTGTGAACTCTACGGCTTGTAACTCCTTCCTCTACTATCGAGGAACAAAAATACTATTATGACCTCTCACAACTTCCCTATAGGAGAAAGTGAAGGTAATGCCAAAGCGAAATGCATGTGACTGATGCATAACGTAGCTTGGATGCTGTGAAGATAGTCCCTAAAAATTATGGAATCAACTTAAGCAGACAGCCACAGCCTTCTAAAAGTCATCTTCTCCTTCAAGTTCATCTTTTGACGATTCCTTTGGCCAAACTCCTGCTTCAGCTATCTGACAACAGTGTAGCTGAACCCTCTCACCAAATCCACAGGATGTGGAGTTCGGCTTTGGTTAAAAACTGCACTTCTTAGGGTGACAGCCATCAGTCACTGCATTGCTTTCCTGGCCAGATCCCAAAATCATGTGATAAGTAAAGTTTTGCATCATTCCAGAATTTTTTCGCCTTGAGCTACCAATTGCCGCTTAAACTAAGGGTCCTTTCAATCCTTACATCGTAGTTGTAAAGTCCCATTCTCAAGACCTCAAACGCGATGCACCACCACTTCCAGCGCAACCGAGCCCCTAGCGGGACGCCTTCTTTGACTGTGTGGCATGGAACATGCAGCCGCGCAACACCGACTTGTTTATATCTGCCTCTGGGGGCATAAATGATATTCCTCTCGGTATGCAACAAAGCTTTCCCGCGCTCATTCCTTATTGATGGGACCATTAGGGCATCCGCATCCATTTGCCTTCGCGGTGCAACCAAACAATTTGTTTCCTTTGTGATGAAATTGTGCCCCTAGGCGATGTGGGCACACGAAGGGGCTCCTCAATGTGAGTGCCACCGCTTGGTTTTTAGTCTGTTTACCTGATCTAATAAAAATTTGGATTAATTTTCCGCTTTTGGGCTGTTGTAATAATCGTAAGAGTTTGCATTGAATTCGGAGAATACAATTTGGCCAAACTAAAATATACTTCTCCAAGGGTTAAAGTAAGTACGATCATATGCATTACTTCTGTTAAATTTGAACAGGTTGTACAACTCTTGCCTTATTGACGAATCCAATTAGAAGTCTGCACTTCTCCCCTTCGCCCTCCCTCCCAAACATTTTTGGTGCCAGAAAGACATGTTCAGCACCAATTATTTGCCCTTAAATCGTCTTTTAGAATTGTGATGCCAATGCCGATTGCTGGTGATTCAGTTAATTATTGTCTATCCTTCCTCTACAAAATTTGAAGCTCCGCCAGCAAATCACTTAGGCTCAGTCCTGAGCGAGTAGTTGCAGTTTGTGTGTGCTGCCCATAGAAATAACCTTACAGATGCACCAGACAAAGCTGTCTTCGTGTGAAGGTATTTCTGCGTTCGTCTTACACTTCATTTTCATTTGATCCACTTAAATTATGCGTATTGTTACAGTATTTTATGGAATACAGTTCTCTGTTGCGTTCCGAGACTTTCCACTAGGTAGAAGAAGGTATTAAGTTAGACTGAATGCATTTATTCCACGAGGAAGAGGAGGGCTTGGACTGTAACTTAGTCCGGCGGCCAGCCCATCCGTAGGAGAGCAAGCTGAATACCAAAGTAACCGCTAGATCTAAATATAGCCACATAAACAAAGTATTACATCCTCCTATTCCATCTTTTTCAATTCCTCCTTTGTATTGTAAGACTTTTTATACAGTCTAGCAAATCTTTTCCTTAGATGTACACAAGTTGGAATGGAAAACAGTTTACCCTCCATAAAAGGGTTAGTCTGAATGGTCCACAATTTTGAGATGAGACTTGTCAAGAAGTGCATTCACGAGCACCGATTTTTCACCTCAACCAGAGAAGAATTTTGGACTGATCAGCTTAAAATATCTGCCTTTACCTAGAGTCAAAGCCTGTGAATGAAGTTTTTCTTGCCTAGTCAAGCAAAGGTCGACCGTGGAATTTTGGGGCAGAATAGTGATGGTAAAGGAGGTGAGGGAGGGAGAGGAGTGTGGATAAGGCATGTTTTGGCTACCCAGCCTCCTCTTTTTTTACCATGAGGGCAGAGCTCTACAAAGGCCGAGGAGGTTGAATGTCGACTTGTTGACGTAAATAGGAGATGGGAATGCGGAGGCACTGTTGGATGGAAATTGGGTTGCCTCAAGCAACGCTGTGCTAAACCATTTCGAGGTTTACTAAAAATGAATAAATTTTGGAAACAATTCGAGGGGTAGGAGTAAAACGAAAAAAACCAGCAATTCGTTCATGTAGACCCGATGTGTCAGGCGTTACACAAGGTAGCAAAACAGGGTGTCCGACATAACCGAAAAGGGGGAGCACTCGAGTAAGATAGACTAAAGCGTAAAGCCAAACAAAACAACCGAAAGTCATCTGTTTGAGTTCTGCGCTCAGTTTGATGGGTTGGCGTCACCTCTTCAACAAAGGTGATGCAAAAGGCTCCCAATCGAAGTGTCAGATGGAACCTGTCAATAAAAGAGGCCTTAGTGTAAGCCAATCGAGAATACGAAGACGATGTTTGTAGGAATCTTATCCTGATGCCTCATACTTAGGAATTGCACCAGTGGACAAATAGAATAGTAGGATATTTGAGAACCTTGCAAAAGGAGTAAGACATGTCCCTCTTATAACAAATCCTTGGGAGGGTGGTAGGGTCGTGCAAATAGGAAAGTGTTGTCAATGATGCACTAACACGTATGGTGCTGCTTCACTTTCTCGGCAGTGGGACGAAATGTTGAAACTCACAGGCTTGGGCGTGCGTGGACTTCGGCATCAAAACAAGCAACTAAGTACCAAAAAGATTCTGGGCTTATATTAAAGCAAAAAGGACCACGCAGCTATTTGGCTCGATGTTGTGAGAGAGTAAAACCCTAAAATTGACACAGGTGTACCATGGAGGCGACCAGACCAACACTTCACCTCTGTTCCAGTGGAGTGGACTGCAGACTAGCCGATTTACATAGGATCGGTTTAAAAGTCTTGGTGGCTGTAGAAACCAGTGATTAGAGGAGTGTTAAATCACTCACTCACTTATCACTGAGTCCTCCTTGATCAACACCTGGAAGTTGAGGGAAGGATGGTGAATGGAAGGAGAGGTAAGCAGTCAGGACCTCCAATGGTGAAACAAATTAAGCCATAGGCCACTGAATGATGCATTTGAGCAAATTGATCGCTTACTCATCAGCTTTACGGTGCTTTCAAAAAGAAACAACTTTAAGATTCGCTTAATGCGAAAAGATGAGTAAACACGTCAACGTTGGGTGTAGACGTTGTTGCCACGATGTTCAACAGTGTCTGTCGAGTGAAAATGGAGGCACTTTCAAATTAGAGAGGTTGTCACTGCTCTAAACAATCCCACAAAAAGTGGTGAAGCAAGTATCAACGTTGGTTTAACAAGCTACTGCTAACTTATCACCTGCACCAATGCAAAACCCCCTCACTGACAGATTTGACTTTTCAATGGCATCCCCACATGCGCCTACCTGCTACGCCATCTGTGCTCGGCATCGGGGGAATGAAGTGGGCCAGATGGTTGGGGTGCAACAAGGTTGACACACGAATATCCACAGGGGTCATCTTAGGTCATTTCCACCTTCCAAACGAAATCCCAGTAGAACAAGCTCTTAGAAAATCATGCCCTTGACAAGCGTCACCTGACCCCTGTTGAATGACGTAGGCCAAAGAATTGTATGGCAGTGTGTAACGCCATTGCAACCGAATAGATTTGTGCAGTTAAAATAAAACACTCCGATCGAGAAAGGTTAAAGCCGCAGCCATGCCTTGGTTCTGCCAGTCTTATGACCCATCCGGCTTCAGGCGAGTCTTTGGGTACTAAGCCACCCATCAAAGATTCACGTTGGAGCAAATGTTCAGTTTTGTTAACAAAATAAACAAAACATTAGTCATGCTGTGAACATGATCAAACAAGTGTTAAAATGCAGTTTTCCTTAACTAAATGTCTTATTGGCATTAAAGGACAAAGGTTCTCACGACATCTCCTTTGACGCGCAATCATGTTGTTGGTCTTGGTCGTTGCTCCATCTTTTCCATTTTATAGGAAGAATTGGTAAATTAGAAGAGCAAAGATTTGGGGCTAGACCCTTAAAGTCTTTATTTCATAGGTTTTATTCCATCCAAACAGCTACAGCTCTTACTTTTGCTCCATTTTGCCTTTACAGCTGCAAGTTAAGTAAACTAGTTCAGCTCGTTTTAGCCTCCTTTAGTCGTGGACAACTGCGTTAAGGGAGACGGTACTACGTCTCTTTGAACTGCTAAGTTGGTTCGACAGATCTGAAGCAATTTTAATCGCTTTTTTGAGTTGCAAATTTACCTTTCACTGATAAACCTCATTTAGCACGCCATCAAGGAGAAACCTATTCAAAAAATTTTGTTGAACATCCAAAGCCATGACAGCATTTGTAAGGACTCAGCCAGAAAAGACCATAATCGAAAAAAGATATGATCGTTGGAAATGCACATTTACTACTATCATCATTGGTAGTGAATGTAGATAGTTTAAAGACTGAATAACCTCCAAAACAGTTAGATTTTAATTTAAGAGTTGCAATTTGTTTCTTCCTTAATATGACTTTTCGACCAAGTAAGAAGTATAGAAGCGTATGGAGTTCGAAATGGTATCGGTTGCTTTAATAAATTTTATTACTCCTCAGCTGTTCGGTACCGCTGAAGCCCAAACCATAACTGAACACTTTACTTAAGCATATGCTTTTATCCATTCGCCGAGTGACCATACTTTGAACAGCATTCACAAAGGAGTAGAAGTGTTGTTCTGCTGTAGTGATCGCAGGGTTGCTCTTGTTTACACCTTCCCACTTGGCATGCACCGCGATTCCAATTGGCTGACTCCACGCCCTCATGTTTTGCAACTGGTTAATCGTGGAGCTGCTCCTGTTTTATCAGTCCAAAGCACATGAGGGTCATGCTCGAAGTGAAAGAAATGTAAGTCTCCAGTGTACACATTTCAATTAAATTCTTTAAATATATGATATCGTAATTATGAACTTCAAAAAGTTGGAATGTTTCTCTGCCTCTAGGGGCACAGATTGTGCAATTTGTCGTCAAGTGGATAAAAAGGAATTATGATTTGACGCCGTAAGTAGGATTGTCAAGCTGCTCCTTTAAATGCAAATATCCGCTTAGCGCACTCGAAATACAACTGATGGTACTGCTTTATTTTGTGTTCAAAAGTGGTCTTAAATGTCGAAATATTATTATCTGAAGGTCACCTTTGTCGCAGCTAACAGTATCAAGGTAGATGGACTCAATTTATCAGTCGCGTAGGCATAAGACTGCAATTTACCTGGCCTCAGTTTCTCGATGGAAGTGTAGAAGTCAACGGGTCTCCATGATAAAACATTTAATTCATCAAACCCGAATGAAAACCACTTGTTTTTTTTATTGACTGCAAGCATTAAAGATTAAGAAAATGAGTGAGATATAAACAGGAATTAGATAAATTCACCAGAAACAACATCACGAGGAAGCCAGCTAAGTGGTGCTAGTAGTGACTGGATGGCTCACTGAGGGAGTAGATGAGGGAGGAAGATAAGATGAAGTGATGGTAGGGGTTGAACAAACAGGAGCGACTTCGGAAAATGGAGCACTGGTAGTCCCCAGAGGTGGCATGGGGGGCAGATTACTCCCAAACATTGGGTTCATGATCAGCGAAAGGTTAGGATGTTGAAGTAATGTTGGTGGAAGGGTTGAATTCAAGTCGGGGAGTGATGCATTTTTTGATTCAAAAAATGTAGCACTCTGAAGCAGAAAGTTCGCCGCCAAACGTAGACAACTACCGATTATGCAGGCAGATGCATCTGCAGGGGAATTGGAAATTGAGGTCGGCCATGTCTGATTCATTTGGCGGGATTGTGGTGTTTGACCAACCGAATCCTCTATTCCGCCAGAATTTGGCTTTAAGAAACAAAATACCTAAATAAGGCTCCATTGCCTTAGTTGCTTAATGGCCCTGTTGATTTCATACTACTACCCTGACACCTTTTAAAGCAGTAAAGTTGAGAACGTTTTGAGCGCACTTTTTTAATAGCTAAGGTCTTCTGCAGATCACTTGGTGCTATTGGAAGGGTCAGGAATAGCAGGGCTTTTAGTATTGGCTCTAAGATCCCAGATTTTGTAACTCTAGGCCAAGCGTCTGATAAAAATCCATTGAGTACCTAAGAAAACCCCGTAACACCAGTATGTTACAAGCAATTACTTAATTGTTTAAATATTAACTCACAAGTGGAAAGTCCGTTAGACTGGTAATGGAAGCTGATGATTTGATATTTTTGCTAGCTTCAAGGAGAGTCTTCAGTGGAGTAGGCATTACTGCCGAATTATTCATTTGAATGGGTTTTGTGGGCGAAGTAACACTAGCGAGTGGCGAAGGTTGGCTAGTAGACATTGGCGGATTCGATCGGACTCTCTTCGGAGGATTAGGTAGGGAAGCGCTCGAATAGGCAGGTTCTATTGTACTCATTCCGCTCTCCAAGCACGAATTCTAGGTGCAATGTATAACCAGTTCTTTACACTTGACCAGTGATGTTAGCAGATGAAGGTAGAGCCTGTTGCGTCAATTAAACCTCAAACATTGACCTATCGGGTTTACCATGGGGTAGTTTTTGAGACTTACTGGTCTGATAACAGGGGATGGTCTGTTAATTACAATAGGCTCAGCCAAAGTGCCCATGTTCTGCCAATCATTAATAGGTTTTAATGGCAGTGCTTCTGCTGCAGGGGTAATCAGTATTTTCCCTCGTTTGCGTTCGTTAGCTAAAGCTCGACGCGCCATCCAAACGGCATTGGGATTACAGGCGAGGTAGCTGGGGTTTTGGTCGACCGAGGTCAGTGGAGAGCACTCGAATGCTGAAGTTGGCTGACTAAGTGCGTTCGATTTAGACAGCTTTCGTTCCTCGGCTTTCTTCAAATTTCGTCTATACAATTTTAATTGACCCCGAATCTTAAGACGAATCTGTCTTTCGTTGAAGGCAGGAAATTGGCGTCGACAAGCAGCCTCTAGCTGAGCTAGACGGTGTCTAGGCTGTTGAACGATGGTCAGACGACGATCCAACAGTTCAAGAGCCAATTGTTTGATGAAAAACTGTAATCATCCAAATAAAAATATAAAGTTTGTTAGCAGCATTGAGAATAAGCTGACATTCAATGCCGTCCTACTTTCATCTTTGAATATTTAGTGTACAAGAAAAGGCATCATACTTAAGGTTTGTCTATTTACTCCAACGCTCAACTAACGCGAACAAGTTAAATAAAGTTTCCAAGTAAATGCACGATCTAAAACCTATTTTACAAACTTACATTGAGTGCTAATTCTTGATCAGTTGGTTTACGCTTTGCGATCTTTTTCCGAGAGGCGCCGTTGGCTTCCTCCTCGTCCCCAGAGTAGGATCGTTTTCTCGCTGTTCCAGTCTAAAGTAAACAAAATTCTTAGGCATCGAAGTTTTTGATCTACCTATTTATCCAAAAAAATGGGTGCTAGTGAACACAAATTTCAGACACCACCCCTTTAACTTGAGTTGTCAATATTGTTCAACATAAGACAGCGTAGGATGTAAAAATGCAAATAAGCAGACCCAGCATAGCCAGTACGAAAACAATTGCTTTTAGCTGTTGTCTCTGCTCTTCGATTAGGCAAAGGTTTAAGCTTTAACTAACGATTGTGATAAAGATTTAATGATGTCACGGGACTTTTACCCTGACTTACTCTCAGGTCAAGCGCTGAGGCAGAGCGTTCTCCGCGTTCGGACTGCAATTTAAAATGCATAATCTTAGAAACACCAACTGTAATCGTCGATGTGATTCTGAAGAAAATTTTTCTAATGCAAAAGGCTGCTTTAGATTTCATGGATGGATTTATATTTACTGAAACAATACGTACTCGTCGCAAGGGTTTTGGCAGAACAACGAATGATGAGCTTGTGTTTTCTCTCTTCATTGCCTCTACAAGGAAAGCCTCGGTTTTAATGTCCTCCCTAGTTGCCATGGTGGATAAGAAGAAATCGCCGATACGTCACACTGATCAAATTCGGGGAAAATGGCCGGCTGGGCCTACACTCCTCAAACTGGGACGCGTCAAATCGATCAATATTTTCCGGCTGTGTGAGGCGGAGTGCGTGCATGCGTGTGCGCATGCGTGAAGTCAAGGCGCCTAATGGCCAGACGTATCGATTTTCGACATTTCCGTACGCACTAGAGTAAACACTCCAACACGATTGGTTGCCGAGCTCAACTAAAGTCGCGTGGGCGGTACGTGCAAATTACCTCGATGAATTGTGCACAGAACCCTCAGCCTGACTGCCGTTCAATATTGCTCAAGATTATCCCAATGGGAAAGAAGTCTATGATTGGCGTGTAGTGACTAATCGAAACAACGCAAAGAAAGAAAGCACAAAAATGAGCCATGTAAGCAGGAAAGCCAAAATATCAAATAGACTATTTTGGGGTAGCATGAAAAACACGCTCAATATGATAAAATTTGTTTGGTTGTATGGGACGGGTCCGGCTGTCGTTTCATAACTTTTAAGTCTGAGATGCGTAAATATGCCAATTGTCCAAAAAAGGCAGATGAGCTTCTGCAAATTAGGAAGTATCTACAGCTCGAATTCTGTCTGAGAGGCTTCCTTCGGATTTATTAGTTTTGTGGAAGCAGAACAATGTCCTTCATGTTTGGTTACTCAAAAAGAGAAGGGTTCGTGATTCAAGAAAGCGATCAAAACATCTGTTCTATGATATGGTGCTTTGGTTAAGAAAATGAGGGGGTGAAAGAGGTTTGCCAAATCGTAAGCACAAATTAAGTCAGAGAAATCCACAAGCTAATCACTTCTGTAATTTGTTTGTTAAAATCTGTTTCGCTGACATTCCATTAATAGTCTCTAAGCCATGCTAAGAGCCAACTCCTTCTGTATTTTGAAATTTGCTTACCTCGATCGTGTACTGTACTGTAATTTTTTTATATCAGGGGCTCTGGGAGAACTGCATTGGTGCAGGTTAAACTCATATTTGTTTTAAAAGGACATTTCTCCCGATTTACCCTATTAAAATGGTTAATGGTCTTGGAGAACAGAGGAACATGTACCGCGAAGTGGCGAGATCTTTGTGAGTCCCCTTGCTGAAGGTCTAAAAACGGGGTCAAGTATTGTCCGATTGTCCCCTGTCCCGGTCCGGTGGTTTTTATAAAGGCTGTTAACAGTGGAGGCAAAGTTTTTTTTAAACTACCTGAAATTTGTCAACAACGTTGTCGACGTGGATTGAGTGACCTCGCAGCACTACCACATCTATTCTAGCCGGATAACGATTTGAAGGATAAAGTGACAAGAAGAATTTGAAGCTGAACCTAATTCCGAAAGAACCATGTTGCATACTATCCAATGTTGCCGGGCTCGGCTTTGAGGTTCAGTGTTTCTGTTGGACACGATAAACATAACAATGACGTCCCATTGGCATGGAATATCAATGCCTTACAAAGATAATCCTTTAATACAATAAATTTTTCACACCAACGACCACAAAGCGGCGGTTAATATAAGAAGTTAAGCACAAAGGTTGCCAAGGGTGGATAATGTGCATAGCCCCTGGGTCATACTAGTTTGAACGGCAGTTTGACATGCATCGCTTGGATGGTTCACTAACCGCAAGCAAAACAGTCAGTCCATTAAGAAGACACCTAAACGTCAAAGGGAGTCACGCAGTACCTGCCAGGGCCACCTCACTGTGAGAGGAGAAATGTGAAAGCCCCATGCCATGCCATTGGCCTACGAACGTGCGTGCCTCACCATTTTAAGCACTTTGCCAACAAAGGAGGGTGAATATCAGTTTTGACAATAGTTCTACTCCATCGGATACACCCAATCTTCCAGTCCAAAATTCGGTATGTTGCCTTACTTATGTGTTAAACTTTTGTGCTTCCAGGTTGTGGTAGTGGAAACCAGCCATCCTTTTCATCGGTTGTACATACTTTGCTCCGGTTTGGTGGCTTCTCTCACCTTCAGAGAAATTTCATGGCACTTCATCCAGGCAACTGTTTACCACTCGGACTTTGGCGCCACAACCCCTTTACGCAGATTTGGGGAATGCATTAAAAAGCTCTAATCGCACCATTTAACTCGCGGCATTTTTCTAATCGCATCAGCCTAGCAATGATGAACATTTTGCTACTATCAGCGAAGGAGTGTTCTTGAGGTTAACATTTTGATCCCAACCAAATTGCTGAGGGATCAGAGCTAAGGCAGACGAATAAGCTGATGTGAGTCCAAGTGGCGCTTTGATATTCCCACTAACTCATGTGCTATCCACGTGGGAAGACGAAAGTCTAATTACCATGGGAAGTGTTTTGACACTGACCCAATTGAAGGCTGATGAAGAGGCAGTGTTAGCAGCACGTTTGGTTGCTGAGGTACGCCAAGGCTTGGCGTCCCACGCTCCATTTCCGTGCTAACATCGATTCACTCCTGACCCACAATCTGTCCACGTGGAGGGAGGAGGAGAGGGTAAAATAGGACGTGGCAACACCTTCGACCTTCGACTATTACGCATTTGTCCGTCCCTTCCGGAAGGCAAGGTAACCATTTCTGTTCGAGTGCTTACAATGTCCCAGTCCTCCGCCTCCACGAGAGGGTAAGAGACCGGTGGGTTGTTTGAAGTCCTGTAAAATGCCGCAAAGGTTATCACCCCACTTTGGATACTTTTATGGCCGTGTTTCACCCTGACACTTCCTCTCAATGTGATCGGGTGGGCACCTGTTAAGACAGTTCTATAAACCGGTGAGGATGGCTTAACGCACAAGAGAGATGAGAAAGGACTGACGACTGCATCAACTTTTAGGTAGGAACACTTTAACCTGAAGGCGAGGTTGCAGACACTTGCACTTGGAGTAAATTAGAAGATGATAGGAGAAAAGGCGTCTAAGTTGACACAAAATTTATCACTGCTACTCCCTAATTTCATCTTGTTTTTCTTCCTCATTTTCTCCACCTCCATACTCCTCCTCTTCATTTTCTTTCCTACTTTTTTGCTCCCCCGCAGGCACTAGGGTGATGGAATAGTTAGTGAACTCCCTTGAGTTGTTCAGGATGCCATGAGCATTAGCAAAGAGATTAAACACCGTCTTCATCTCGCTCATTCGATCATCCATATAGAAGTCAACCTGCTTCTCTTCCTCTGCCTCCTCTTCATTTTCATCTCCCTCTTCTCCTTTGCCCATCGTCACAGCATTTGACGCATGCTGCCCCTCTTCCTCCTCGGACTCGCCCTTCTCAGCCTCGTCGTCCAAGTCCTCAGAGGTCGCGGTGTCCATACGGAAAATTCGCGATCTCCCCTCTTCACTAGAACCGTTCTTTTTATTACTGTTCTTTACCCAAACCTTTTTGTAGCGCTTGCGATAGCGCTTGAAACAGCAGGGATTTTGAGTGCGTCTGGGGCACTTGTGATGGATGGGAGGCAATTTAATCATATGGACGTCCCTAAAATTTGAGAAGTGATTCTCATTTTACTCGCCTTAGTGCGGTTCTCCAAAACAAAAGGTCAAAAACTAAATCTAGGGCTGGGAAAAGTGATGTTGACTAAGTTATCCATTTGCACTTAGGCAACTCAAGGTGGAGATGCACGCGTTTGCAAAACGTCGACCCAAGTACTGTTGTGAATGCTTTGAATGCAAATCTCTAAACTAGAAGATGACAAGTTTAACTCTAACTCCATTTGATTACCCTATTTTGAGTTAACCAAGCGCATTTCTTTAGTCACCCTGCATGACGGTATGTGCAGCCTACGGATGTGTGTTCAGGAGGAAAAAACGAAACCCACTCTGGTCCACATTCGGCAGTGACGCGATCGTTCTTCCTACACGTCCACAACCAAGGCTTCTGACTACACAACTCTGGCAGATGCATTGCCTCAAAGTACTCGTCCACTCCATATCGGCTCTTCTGCTTCGCGGCTGCCAATCTCATCACTTCCTCTGCCTCACGACGCCTCGACAGCTCCTCTTCGGTGTTCTCCATCCCCTTTCGAATTTGATTGCAGAGCGATTGCATGAACACGGGATCATTAAGCATCACCAAATCATGCCCCAGTCTTAGTTTTAACTTCTTGGCATGGGATAGAGTAATGGGTTGGTCAAAGAGATGGCAGGCAATGTGATTTATCTGGAATGGGCTTGCCGATATGCCGCGGTAGTAGGACTCCAATGCAGGAAGGTTGGGTTCTTCGCGTTCGCGGGTGCGCTGCATCACGGTCAGAGATCGGTGCTGTTTGTTGGGACTGCTAAAGGGACTTAGGGAGCCATTGTACACGGAGTTGAGTTCAAAGTACTTCGAGGTGCGCCTGCCCCAGAGCAACTTGTGATAATCGAGTGCAGGCAGAGGATTCTCCCTTATCTCCGTCTCAAATCGAGTCACCAACTCGGGAGGATACTGTTCCGAGTCGACTTTCAATACGATACTGGGTTTGGTGTCGAGTCGGTCCTTAATTTCATCAGCTAGTGGGACTAAGGCTTTAAAATTGCGCGTCTCATCCGGCGGCACGTAGTCTGTGTGTCCAAAGGGCATCTGGCGCGAGATTTGGTTGAGGTTTTGATTCATATTGGAAGGACCTGTTCTGTTCTGCTTTAAGGGGCGAATGCGGTGCCAGAGCGCATTTTCTTCTCGCCCTGACTTCAAGTCATTGATTTTTCATGAGGATTTAAAATGTTGTGGCAGCGCTTCAAAAGGAGTGGAAGATTTAGCTGTAGTACTTCCTTCTTTCCGATATCTGAATAGGCAGTTGTGTAGCCTCCCACACAAAGGATTTGAAGTGAAGTGGATTTTAAAGTAAAGCGACAATGTCGCTTTACATGAAGCGTCTTGGGAGCAGTATAAAGCCCCTACCAGGGCATGGAGCTGAGAACCTGAATGGATGATTTGAAGTCCATGATTTACTTCTCAGCACGTATGCCTTCATCTGACTTAATACTATAGTAAAGACTTTCTTTATCCTTTCGCCTACTTTCTGTTCAAGTAGTGAGAACTACAAAGGAAGTTCGTAATTTGAGCCATTTTTGAGGGTTGACTGCCTTTAAAAGCCTCAAAACCATCGAACTCAGGTACGGCCAGCAAGCTCACACGTATTACGCTTTGCTAGCGTTCTTTGAACCACGGAAATGTTGGACTTACTTCTGTTGGCGTGCATAAACCTTCTCACTGCCAAACCAGTGAGGTAACTTTATAAAGCCACAAAAGGCCACTCACTTTCCACGTTGTTATTGACATCCTGTTAACTGTGTTTGTTGTAGTGTGCCTTTTGACTTGACCAGAATAAAAATCTAGACTTTCATGATCAAGGTTGGAAAGTGAACACCCCTTTGGGGCTCACCGAAACCGTTTGTATTCCCCGCTGACGCTTTCATTGGTACGACTGTTAAAGTAGTACCAATTTTGCTCATCCTTTGGAAGAAGACGGCTTCGGTGAAGTTAAATTAGGTCCAAAAAACCAAACTTCCAGAATATTTCCATTGGTTTTAGAAATATGGTATTCTTTTTACAGAGAGAGAGGTGAGCCTTGTTTTTCTTAAACACATTAGTCGAATAAGCATGAAAATACTGAAACATAGGCGCATTGTTGAATGAGAAAAGGGTATGAAGGCAGTTACCAATGTCGAGAGGCGTTCGTTGCCTTTTAAGAGGAAGAAGGTAAAGCCTTAAATAGCAGTACAATCACATGAACGCGGCTTGAAGCCGATAGCATGGCCCGGAGATCACACCGCACGGAGGGATAAAACGAGAAGGATCTAGGTGTCCTGCTACCAAACTCATCGAGTATTTCATCTTTTATTCTGGATCAAGTAAGTGGAGTACCTCCGAGTACAACTGAGTTGTACAACTCCTGAGGAATATCAAGGCAGGCGCTTTAAAAACGCAGTAGCGTAAGATTCGCTCGAGCAACTGATGCAATTTAACTCTCAGAACTAAAAGGAAGCCTTAAGCAAAGTGCATATTATCTAACCGATGCTGATTTAACTAAGCTCAATTCTCCCTCACAAGAAGGAAAACCATTATACGTTTACAAAGTTGATCTCCCAGCACCCTACTGTGTTTTCTCTGCAGAATGAATTAAGAAAATGTTTCGAAGCATCGATACGGTACGCTTAGGTACCGGTGATTGTACTTAACTGTTCATTTCGTCGCTAAAGCAAATTAACTGTTCCTGCTAAACTTACAAAGTGCGCCAACTTACAGCGATTTGATGCCTCGTCCAAAAGCGAGTTTAATAACGCGGGCAGTTTACTCTTCTCGGGTTACAGCGTCGTCCCACAACATGGTTCAAAGATCTAACCAGTAGCCTGCCACCTCCTCGGGGCAGCACTGGTATGCACCATAAATGTCGCTTCGGAGACTTCTTAACGCGCTGCAAACCAATCCCAATACTTCCAGAATTTACCTGACTGAACGCTCAATTGTTGGTGTCGCACAAAAATATTTTCTGTTTGGATAAGTGATGTATGCAACTCCTTAGCCAAAAATTGTGCGAATCTTTAGCAGTTATGCAACTCATGTACTAACAGGAATATTATGCGGGATAAAACCAGCACTAATTACCAAACCATACAAAAGCCCATCATTTAGCTAGTTATTGGTTCCTTCACGAAATTGGTAGCCATATCAACAGGCTCATACCTCATTTATTTTGTCAGTAGCTTAATGGACCCTAAACTAAAAGCTGAGTAATACGTATCTGAAACTAAAACAATCACACATACGGGCACCGAATACTAAGCCTGAAAAATTGTATTGGGCCTTACATTACTTTAATTGTCATTTTATTAAAGGAGTCTCACTTATGTACTTTGATGCAATAAGCTGGGACTTTGTGTGATTTTATCAAAGTCAACGTCTTATTCCGGCAAAACGAGATCTATTAGTTAGTTAGTATTTGTGCGACCATACTCCATTAGTTGACGAATCCTTCCTAAATTGCTTTACGATTTGAAAGCGTAAAAGCAAATAAATTCGCCTTTATCTATTTCTGACACTCGTTGTTCTCCCTGGATTGGGTACAGATAACAATTTATATCAAAGTACTGACATCCTTTGTAAGGATTTACGTGAGCTAATTATTCAACTGAAAGTTCCACACTAAGTTGCGAATATATTTACCAACTGATCCACTCTTTGAACCTATCTTTGTTAACTCTCCGCTTAGTGATTTTGACATAAAACGGATTATGTGGTATCATCATTGATGACCTCGTAATTTTTCGGTTGGGCATTTTTATTGGTGATGGCATTAGTCAAATGGTGCATTAATAGCCTGCAACCTCGAGGCGTCTCAGCACTGCTGTGTGGTTTGCTAGTGCGTGGTTGATTTGATGGTTAATTCCATTTGGAAATTGATGTCTTCGTTATGAATTTTTATATGGAACGTGTTCTCTTATAGATGTATCTTTCCATTTCTTTGACCTTACTTTTCCTGGCTCGCTCTTATTCTGTCATTTCCAAGATGCAACTTTAACAGTTGTTTACTTTGTCCTGATTTTTAGGTTGAAATGGCGACATCGACTCTCGTTCAGTATATTGTGGTGCGTTCTGATCTCAAGGCATCTCTGTCCTGGTCTCTCGGTGCGGTAATCGCACAGGCTTGTCACGCCTCTACTGCTGCGCTACAGAAATTCGCAGAGCACGAGGATACACGGGCTTACGTGGCAGATCTGGAGAACATGCACAAGGTGGTACTAGGGGTCAGTGATGAAGTCAAATTGGCCTTCCTTTCTCAGCGCCTCGAAGGCGAGCACATCGACTTTGTGTTGTGGCGTGAGCAGCCTGAGAACATCCTTACTGCCCTTGCTCTCCGTCCCTACCACAAGAAAGCTGTTCGAAATCTACTTACCGAGTACCCACTGCTTAGTTAGGCGCATTTGTACTCACTTACACACATTCTGTGAACAATGGGTAATATTCCTGTTTTGTCCCCTACTTGGTGGCTCGTAATGGAGAGTGGATGGAGGTACTCTTCACTGTCTTTCTGAAACATTTCCTCAGGTCATAACTTTCAAGAAGTTGATACATTTCAGGCTTTTGTTGTTTATGTAATTGTCTGTGTAACATAGGCGTTGGATTTTATGGGTGTTTTAAGGCTTGGTGCTTTCCTTTGCGATTGGGAGCTTATTGTGGATACGAGTTCGGCACTCGTCTCAGTTGTGTCACCGTACTAAAGTTTATAAAGTAGGTATAGTTTGAGAAATAATTGGCTTGTGTTGTAAGTGTTGGCTTTACTTGACGCCGAAAGAAGGGGTTTCAAAATGCTGGAATGTCTTATGGCGGTCCTAGTTCTTTGTTCGAGTGAGTCCTCCTGATTCTGGCCTTTATGGATTTTATGACACGCAGAAAGTAAGAAATTAGCACATTAAGCACAAATACCGGTTTAATGATACATAAATAGCACATCTTTGGTGGAAAAATCGGTCTTTTGTATAATCAAGGATTGCGCGGGTCAGTTGTGGGTGCTTCATTGTATGTTTGTGCTCGAAGCAAGGAAATGTGCCGAACATTGCCTTAATACTTGTCTCCGACCTGTTGAGTGGTTCGCGTTCTGGCCAACCTCTGTCGCTCAATCAGTAAAGTATCATACTGGTCCAGCACCTGCGCTGCCAACTTCACAAAGTCCTTCTCTGCCATCGAGAGCTGCACACGTGCCTCCATGGCTGAACGTACGCGCTCCTTAGCCACGTTTTTCGAAGCAACGCCGTTTGGTATCCGCTTCTTGAGTTTTGACTGACCTGCTACGTTCAGCGTCTGTGCGCAGTAAAGAGGTGAGACTTCACCCATCAGCAGCATAGAAGCCATGGTTTTGGGCCATCTGGACACTGGCATCAGGTAGGGTGTTATCGTAGGCTGTGGCAACTTTTGCTTTGCCTCCAAGTCAGTTATTTTTCTTTGAAGATCGCACGATCGCGGTCGACGTCGTGGTTTGGCCAATTCATTTATACGATCAGAGCTGGGAGTTGGCCGAGCTCGTCTAATACAATGTGCCAATTCTAAGGAAGTCTGTGTCCATGCGGGTTGATATTGAGCTTTCAAAGGAGCGGACCCTAAGGGAACAGCTGGGGATAGCACGCGCTTTACTCTCTCTTGCGGCTGACAGCTTGAGCTTCGGCGAGTTTGTGTGACTATTGCAGCGGAAGAGTCATCGGCACCTCTATGAGGTGGCAATTTGGACGGTTCTTTGGTAGAATCAATCGTGTTTTGTCTTGACTGCCTTCTGCTTCCCTTCAAAGGAGGTGCTCGCTGAGATTGCGTAGGTTTACTTGTCTTAGAGGTGAGGGCTTTTTCAGATTCAACCAAGGTTCGACTACCCTTTGAATTTGCTGACTTTGATAAAGTTTCTCGCTCTTTACCGTTTGCTGTAATTGAAACTGTTGAGTCAAATGAGATAGGCTCCGTACATTGTGAGGTAGGTCTTTTGGAGTTTGTCACCTGTGTGGAAGGTTGGTCATCATTCGTTGGCTGACTTGTAGATCTTTTTCGTGTAGATATTGAGTGTTTGGTGGGTTGACTCACAGGTCTTGAGGTAGATTGCAAAGATTCTAATCGCGTCCTATTGCTAACTGATGAGTTGAACCTGGAACCTCGGGTCATTGACACAGATGATGTTTGCGAAGGTAGATCGCTCGAACTGCCATGACAAAGGGGCTTTTCGGAGTGATCTTCTCGAGATTTTGTAGTTGCACAGGAATTCTCGGCTTGTGACACATTTGATATAATTGTTTCACCAAAACCATCGGGAGGTCGCCTTTCACTCGTATCTTTGTCGCTTTTACTTCTTTCACTACTCCTAATACTGCTACTTCTGTCTTGAATTTTCTCTTCTGGAAGAATGGTGTCAATGTATTCAGAGGTGGACTTGCAAACACCTTCACTTCCGTAAGTGGATCTATCAAGTGAGAGGGAGGAAACTTCAGACGTATCGCGGGAACTCTCTGTTGTCTTAGTGGTTTCCTGTGATTCAGATGTCTTAGAATCGGCTGTAGTACGTTTTTTAGTAGCAGCACCATTGAAAATACGCTCCAACTCAAGAGCTGGCCGATAATTTGGTGCATTGCGTAGGCAGCTCCGTACCATGGAAAGTGGTGAAGTCTCAGTATCATCATCTGCTCCAACATTGGCTCCAGCTTCAACAAGCAAGTGGCAAATTTCCACGGCAGTGTTGGGACTCGGTGCCTGCTCCTTTGTCCTCAAAGCCTGGTACGTTGCTATTTGAAGAGGAGTCTGGCTAGAGGCATTTTTCTTATTAATCAGACTGCTCGCAATTGCATCAATTTTTAACAGTCGTGTAACGCACTCCTTATTGGAATTAGCACATGCTTCATGGAGTGCAGTGTCATCGACAACGTTGACATTAGTTGGGTCTGCCCCATATTCAAGCAATAAATCAATGACATCGGCTACAGCGTTGGTTGCTGTCCTACTGGTATAATGAAAAGGACCCCTTCCACGGCTGTCAGTGACTTTTGGATCTGCTCCAGCGTCAAGGAGCTTCTTTGTTACATCAAAATGTCCCATTGTTATGGAATAGAAGAGTGGTGGGCAGCCATCGGAGTCTTGGGCATCTAAAATCCTCCCACGCTCCTCCTTGTTCATTTGGGAGCCATCCAGGTATTTGATGATTGTCTGGACAGTTGAGGTGTGGCCTCTGGAGGAGGCACAATGAAGTGCTGTCAGACCGCTCTTTTCTGCCTTGCAGGGGTCTGCTCCTAGCTCTAGAAGAATACTAGTCGAGAGTGAGGCTCCAATTGTGGCCGCCCAGATTAGCGACGTGCGTCCACGCGCATCAACGCAGTTTATGTCCATGTGCGAGCGTTCGACAATACATTTTATGATGGAAGTGGATATTCCTTCAGGCAGCTGAACAGCGTAATGAAGCGCCGTAGCTGATTGAGCATCTTGTACATCAACATTCACTGTGAATTTATGCGTAGTCCCTTTAGCATCTTCGAAGGAGCCGGAAAGTAAAAATTCAAGCATTTCGTAGTTGGCGTATATCACTGCTAAATGAAGAGCAGATCGTCCGGCTATCGTAATGTTTCCCTCTTTTTCCATCGCTTCATTGGTGGTTGGGGGGCCCACTAGAGTATTTACGTCTACTCCGTGGGCGAGGAGAAGCTTGGCCAGCGGTATATTGCCATGGATGACTGCGTGGTGAAAGGGTAGGTAGCCATCATTGTCTGGCTGATTTTGCAACTTGAATTCGGATTCCAGAAGAATCTCAGCGCAGGCCAGTCTACCTCCAGGTTTTGCCTGTCCTGAAGGACCGTCATCGGTCTCTGCACAATAGTGCAGTGCATTCCTGCCCTTTCTATCCTTCACTTCATCAAAATTACAATTCGAAGAGATGAGTTTGCGTAGAAAAACCACATCTCCGCGTTTGCAGATGTTCAGCACCGCAATAATGTGACTGGCTTTCATGTTGGGGGTGGAGATCATCACGGCGGATGAACAGAGGTGCGACTGACCTGCGCCGCCTTGGCCGCCAATGTGTCGACATGGCAACACTGAGGCGTTAGACGATTGGTCACTGCAACCCATAAACACTCGGTTGCTATGGCGCCAGTGTGATGGTGCTTATGCAGCCAAAAGTTTGGCCCTTATGTCTCTCATTTATGCTCAGTTATTGCCAAAATCCAAAATGCACTATTGCTAAACCTTCCAACCCCTCAAAAATTGCTGTTTTGTAAAAGTTACGCAACAATTTTTCGTTTTCTTGCAGAGGAAAAGGTAATGTTGATTGTTGATGGTGTTAAACACAGCTTGTCAAGTGTTTAAGCAATGGGAAGCAATGCCCATTACTTATCCGCCTTTCCTTCTCGAGCAGTTTGACGCTCGTATGACTCTCGCCTCTTTTTAAGCAGTTCACCACTTCCTCCATAAAAAGACTGGCAGTTTTGGTGAGCAATGCTTAAAGGTTAACAGGGAAGCGTGCCAAAAGTTACTTTTTGTGTTATAACCTGCGTATCTTGTGAACAAAAAGTGACAATAATGATTGCTGTTGAATGGAAAATTGTCTAAAATGTCATTTTGACAATCGTTAAGACAGTTGTAGGTGCTAAATTTTTGCTTCCCGGAGCCTAGATGATAAAAAAACTTAACCCTCTTAAACTTTATTAAATTGTGCTTTTTAAAAACTGGAAATCTGTTTTTGGCATTTAAAAGCATGACTAGAGTGAGTGGCAAACTTTAAAGAACAATCAGACAATTTTTTGGTCACCGAAGACGACTGCCTTGAAGACGAGGAAGGCGAAGCTTTTCGAATGGAATGCGTATTGTCGATGCACTGTGGAGTTTAGACCCACTAGCAGGATCAAGAGATCAGGTTGGCCTGAATAAGGACGCAATTCGAACAGTCCTAGTGGATTTCTTTGCCAAAATGTTTCACGTAGCTCTATTGCAATGTGGTCGATGCTTAAAGAAGTGCCACTGATTTTCTTGGCATTTCTATGGAGTCAAAAGGCTTTATTCTGCAAGGAAAGTGAGTTGAGAACGAGGCAGTGTGCTTGCCGTCGTGGGTAGCTGTGGGAGGACTGGCCGACATTCGCGCTCACGCAATAGAAGAAGGGTTTTAGTGTGTTTTCATGGGCTTCCTCTGGGTCACAACGCCCTTACTTTAAAGCTGCTTCGTCCAAGACCTGCAGGAGGCAGATATTACCATCATCCACACCAAACTTTTCAGCTTTTCTGACCAACACATGACCAATTATGATCAAAAGTAGGCGTCATTTGCGCCTCTTCTATTGGAGAATAAGAAGTTGCCATCTGGTGCCACCATAAAATGAGTTGTTATACTTTGGCTTGCAGACAGACTTTGGATGGGAGGTTGACTGGCAGAGGAACAATGCTGGAGTCTTTCAGTGGCCCATCACCAAAGCAGTAGGTTAAGCAAACAACTGGAGCAGACTCGCCTAAGGAATCAGGATAGATTTTGAAATCTTATTGAGGCTTCACAATGAATGTAAGAAGGAACGGCTGATCCACGTGAATGGGTTCAATAATCACCATTTTCAACGTTGTACATGCATAATTTATCCGCAAAAGTTTGACTACCAGCTGAAACAGTGACCGGCTTAAAATTCCCTATCCGAATCTGGCACAGGATTGGGTCACCTGTCTTTCTTTCAAAATGAATTCTATTTGTGAGCGAATTTTTAAGTAGAATTATTGTTAAGAAAAGTGTGGGACACTTTCTAACACACTGAGAGGAAGTCGTTAAAAACCTTCCACCAATCGACAACTCGCCACCATCCAAGCGCGCACCATCCAATCAATGAGCAGAAAACCCGATTCATCCTCTCCTCTTCTCCTGCTAACATCCCTTCGCATATTGCCACAGTTCACAATGGTAAGTCAGTGGAGGCTCTTCTCCTTGATTTATTCTTTGTGCTTCTTTTTTTCTTCAGGCCAACCTCTCAAAAGCCGAGGTGGACGGTAAGTGTGGATGGTGGCAGTGAGGCCGTTGTTGTGCAAGCCATCCTTGCACATTTGACCTTTTTGTAGACGTCCGTGAGGTGTTTGAGGTCTTCGATTTCTGGGACGGTCATGATGGCATGGTGGATGCTAGCCGTGTCCCCGACCTCCTTCGATGCACTGGGCTCAACCCAACCAACGCCTGCTGCCTTAGGAATGGAACTTTGACTGTGGCAGATGAGTTGCACTTATGCTGCTTCTTTGATCATTTCTATGAAGTAAATGTTTAAAAGTGAAGGCTGATGTAGAAGGAGTCTGACGTTGTCATCATAGTGTTACCAAGCCGTCGACATATCTGAACATCCCGCTCACTTGAGGCGTACAAGTTGCAGTGAGAAGGATGCTTAGAAGGGACTTTAAAGCAAAGTAGTGGTAATGCCATCATCGAGTCTTATGCAAATACCAGCATTCATCTCATTTAATTAATCTTAAAGTGAAGGCTTTCGGAGGAGGAGGAGGAGGAGGAAAATAGATCTTTTGATTGTCTTTCTTATTGTTTTTTGATGCTGTGGATGTGCTTCGAAGTGATTACGAATTTCAATGAGTTGAAAACTATTGCTAAACTGTGGGCATTGAGTGTTGCAGTGGAAAACGAATTACTGCCTCGCTTTTGTTTTGAATGAGTGCTTTCTGTCCATCCCAAAATTGCAGTTTGTTCCTTTTTCACGCTTTCAATGCATCCGATCAAGTTGTGGCAGTGTTACGAAGTGACGTTAGGAGCTGTGTGCCTGCCTCCCGTTCTGTCCAGCACTCGGGAGTGAAGACTGCGGGAAGTAGAGTGACCGATGGATTGAGGAAACATAAGTTCACTCTCTCTTGATTATTTGAACCTCAAATAAGTGGGTTGACGACGTCTTCATGCACTGGGTCTTGGCTTCCTCTAGCCCTTCCCCATTTCTCTCCCTCTTTCCTTCTCCTCTGAGGGAGCAGGAAGTCATACTGGGCTTTGAGTAGCTTCATTGTCTTCTTGAGCGCTGCCCTTGAGGCTCCCCTTAAACGCTCCTCGCCTTCAGACATTGCGGATTATGAGTTGAAGCAGTGTCCACTAAACTTTAAGGACAAATTGAGAAAGGTATGAGGCCATCGCTGTTGACACGTCTCCTCACTTCCACTGTGTCTGCTTTACAACCACGTCGTGAAATTTAGCTGAGATAGAGACTGGAAAATGCACCATTCAAAGTCGTCTTTACATGGCGGTGTATTTAGTTGGAAAGTAGTGTTCTATACCCATTCGTCTCTTCCAGATTTTCCTCGTTCCAATTCTCTCCAGTTGTTGAAATGAACTCTAGTAGACTGGTAAAGGTGGACAAAAAGTACTTTTGCTCTCAAGTTGCACCACTCGAAGCAAGTTCGGTTTTGGGTGGTTGAAAGAACTTGTCCTGGTAAATTCAGAGCCAGACCTTTTGCTCTGAGCATAGAAAGAGGTAGGCTTTTGGCGCCTAGACTGCTAAGAGTAGCCACATGTGATAGTTCTGAATCACGATTGCTTAAGCCTTTACAAGCCTTTAGGAAGGCGGAAGTAGCGAGCAGTGTGCATTGCTAGCTCAGAGCTGGCAGTGGGCAGTGACATTGCCCAGAGGCCATTCCGCCCAGTGGCAGTACAAGACGAGGCTTCGAATGCTCCAGTGCTTAAACAAACAAGTTAGACAACTTGCATGAGTATTTTGACGGCACGGCACTCATAACACATCCCTAACTACCTTTCTTTTTTGAGAGCTTTGCCCACTTCCGCTCCTTCCAAGCACAAATAATAAACTTTTCGCTCTAGTAAATTTATGGCTGCGTTAAAAGTATTTCTCTTTTCCACACGTGCTGCACGTGTATTTAAGTGTACGAGAATTACTCGCATTAAGATTGTTTTGCATTCTAATACGATCTTGGAGGGAAGCGAAGATAGAGCTTGAAGGCTGTGACGTCTGGAAGGGCACAGCAGTGCAGTCCTAAATGCCTTTTTATCATAGACGGAAGTTCTCCAGGCCATCACAGGGTAGTCGGTGTTGCAAGGCAAACGTTTTTAAGTTGGCACAGTCAATCAACGAATTTGTGTGCAACTGAGATGGTGTTGCATCATGAAACCACTAATTCATTTCTACAACTTCACTGAATATAGCGTTTTGTTAAATCTTTGCACTATTTTGGACAAAAAAAGAATTCGTCGAAAATCACACCCATCTATAGTTGTTCTATGGAATATTAGACAGGAATCGGACTTGGATAACGCAAAAGGCGGCATAATTGGCATTGAAGGAAGCGGGGAACCGCGACTTCTTCCCCTTGTCACTCCATTTTCACTTCGTTTCTGCCCAGCCATGCCTGTTTGTTGGGGTTCAATCCAGCTCATAGAGGAGCGAAGAAGGCGTCGCATGTTTCGCATAATTGATGCCCTCCAACGAACCCTTTTTTGGTTGGGAAAAATTCATGGCTAACATCATCTTAGTTTTTGATAGCTTTTCTACAGACTACAGACTTCTTGCTCTTCCGTTTGTGATCATTGCAGAGTCTCTCATTCTTTTCACCAAGACTACACACTCATCAGTAGTGGTTCCCTTTCAACCTCTCGTCAGCCTTCCAGAACGCAATCTCACAGCTCTCCCCTTCCTCTAAGCCAATAATTGAACAAAAGTTGGAGTTGCACATGGAAGTTAGTTTACTGATTGCATCAAAGTGGGTTCCTAATCTTTCATGCAAAAAAACTGTTGGTAAAATGAGGCAATTTGTGGTTTAGAGGAGCACATAGCATTGAAGTGAGTGTATGTGGCACGGAGTAGCAGTGCAAAAAATTGCTAACAAAAAGTCGCTAATGGAGTAATAGAACCGGGCTTGACGGAGCCAAGCCTCTGCCAGCGGGAGGACTAGTGTCTCTCTTCCGCATTTCAGGCGAATGTCAGTACTCCTTCGAGGAGTTCCTCTCAGTGTATCAGGCCATAAAGTATGAGAGCGCTCCACCCGACAAGGACTTATTCATGCAAGTCTTTAAAAGCTACGACCGCGAATCTCAGGGCGTCTTGAGTTCTGCCCAGATCAAACACATTCTGGAGACTTATGGTGAGTCTCGTATCTCTTATGCCGAACAACACCCGTTCGCCAATCATCTGCCCTACCTGATATGTTCAGTCAGTGGAATACTTTATTTCCTATCCTTTCAAGACCAAGTAATGGGAAGCCATTGTAAGGTATGCACGTGGTAATCGCGAGTAGAAACCATACCTGGTCGCACTCAGTCCCTAGGCGCAAGATTCTGAAGAGGAAAGTCTCGTGGATAGACTTTTGCCGTGTTTAAGGGGCGCTCATGCGTGTCACTTTGATGATACTACAAGGGAAGGGATTTGTATTAATTTCGATGCTTAATCACGGCTTCATTCGGTTGTTTTGCAAAGATTTGAGTATTTACAACTCCGGAGCTTTTATTAAGAAGTCGTGTTTCCTGCCAACAATTTGGCTTAATTAAGCTTTTTCGTCTATTTTAAGACATTGATAACACTTAAATGTCTAGTTTTTATGCTAAGGAGAACGCCTGAATGAAGATGAGACTGACAAAGTGTTCGAGTTAATGGGCTATCAGCATGGAACTGTAAAGTATGAAGGTGAGTGCTCTATTTGCTAGCACACTCACTGAAACGTTCTCCGAAAACCGACTTTCCCTTCCTTTTTTAGAAATGATTGACAGAATACTGGAGGAGCCGACGGAACCTGAGCTGTCTGAATGAGAAATTATTGAAAGGATTTAATATCATTTACCTCAAACATTTATTATCACGCAATATACCTTAACATAAAAAAATGCGTCTAAAAATCATCATCAATAAAACTGGTGACTTCTTTGAGCTGGGGTTAACTAAAACAGATCGGGGGGCATGGGTTTTTGCAGTCTATGCGACCTTTGAAGCCCGTAAGTTACAAATTAACCTTAACACTATCGACAGTACAGTAGTACCAACCAGGGAGTTCAAAGAGACTAGACCTGAGCTTGGCCCGAAGGCCAGTCCGCGAGCACAAAGGCTAAACGAATCTTAAAGTAACCGCCAGAAGTCAAATGGTCGCATGAACAAAGTATCACGAAAATAATTCATAGTTGTCCGAAATTAATAGCATTTTCTGTAAAGTCTCGAGACTTCTCACTTTGGGGAAAAAAGTGTTAGGTACAGCTGAATGCCCATATTCAAACTTAAAGGGTAGAAACAAAGCTACAGCCCAGTCCGTAGGTCGGTTTACGCAGCCAAACCAAGACGGTCACAAGTGTGACGACCATTCATACAGACAGTTACGTGGCCAGAGTATTATACTGTCCTTTACCAGCAACTTCGCACCCACATGTTGAGAAAAGTAACACAAACGTAAAACTCGGACCCATCTCAACAATTCAGCGTCTTGAGACCTCCAAAAGACAAAAGAAGGCATGATTCTTGAACCAAATGCGTATATTTTTAGCAAAGTGGAAGGCATTTGGGCTCTTTGTCCCGCTTGCACTCAGACGGGGCACTGCGTCCAGCCAAGCGATCCCAACTGAAAGCGACAGTCGAGCCAATACAAGTGTTGCACCAAATAACTTTTTTGATTTGTAATTCTGTCTTGTCTTATATTGGACCAATCGAGCTTTGGTCGGCGTAGGGCAATTCTGCGAGATGTCATGAACTTTTGTTTACTCAGGAAGCCTCCAACCACTCCTCACGATGGCGACGATTCACATTTAATGCTAGTGCTTTGCGTAACACTGCGCATTCGACTACCTCCATGACTGATGGCCATTGAGGTATTCATCTCGCTCTTGCTTCAAAAGCCAATGCCCAGCCTATTCTCCTCTTCTCTATGAACACAAGTATTCAACTTTGTTCAGTGTCTTTTATTCCCAATAAAATGTCTCACAGTGTCACACTGGTGCCAGCAAAAAGCAAACCCAATCTCCATTCTAGTCTCCTTCGTTTGCGACAAAACTTCCACCGTGAGCATAAAGCACGTACACTAATGGAGAGAGAACCTCTCACCTTTCGACAACAGCAAGGCTGAGAACTGCGCCTGCGTTTGGCGTCTGCCCCTGATTGTGTGTCCCAGTGGTAAGCTATTAACTACTGAGACAACACCAATGTAACGCAAATGAAAAAGTTCAGTTTCAAAATTTCTCTGATGTAGCGTCCCGAGACTTCACACTGGGTGGAAGAAAGCAGTAAGCTAAGCTGGATGCACGTATTCCAAAGAGAACAAAGCGACCAGGCCTGAGCATGGCTCGAAGGCCAGCCCACACGTACAACCGCTAGAAAAGCCTTAAAGTGACCGCCAAACGGTAGGTAATCACATAAACAAAGCATTACACCTAATAGCATCCATGTATGAGTGCCAGCAATGCCATGTCACAAAAACACCTCCCATTCAAGACCGTGTTTGGTCCTGTTCACCCCGCTATAATTCCCTTTTATACCAGTGTTCCTGTGTCGGGCCTTTAACAAAATTAAAGGTTAATAAAAGTTCACTCTTCGAATTGCTGCCTTTGAACCGAATGCAAATTAAAATTCAGTCGAAGTCACTGGAGTCTCTACTTTAACACTTGTGCCTTTTGAAAAGCATCTTTTAGGTTAACCGTAGCGCCCGTAGACTTCTCTCAGGTGGAAAAAGGTATCACACTGGACAGAATGCATTCAATCTAGGAGATTTGTAGACAAAGCGCCCCGGCCTCGCAAGAATGCCAAATTGTGTGTACGAAGAACAAAATAAAATATCAAAGTGACGGTGAGATATCAGGTGGTCACATGAAAAAGAATTGCACTAACCATCTTGTTCTCTTAAGACTGTTCATATAACCTTTGCTATTTTTGTAAGTTGGTTCTGTAATGTAACTACTTGACGTTTAACAGTCAATTTAGAATTTGTCTGGCACCTGTACACGTGGGCTGGCCTTCGAGCCACGCTCAGGCCTCATTGGTCCTGTCGTCTTCGGAATACACGTGCTTATTTTCACTTATGCCTTCTTCCACCCTATAAGAAGCCTCTGGACACTACAGGTCCTTCTGCCTTCGGGCCACATGAAAGCCCACCCATCCCTCTTCTTTCCACTTGGCGGCTTATGGTTTCCATAGCCGCATGGTCAGCCTAGTTATGTTTGACAATACCACTCAGGGTAGACTTTACGATGTCGGACTAATTTTAGCCAAGAAAATTAAACTTGCACGAAAATGGCAGATACGAATTTCTTGGATGCCTTAGTGCTTCAATCTTTAGTCAACGCATAAATTCACTGCATAAAGCAATTATATCTGTTGCCATTGCCTCGATGTTTGGAAAAACAGTGACACCAGCAATATACTGCAAAGGTCTTTAATTCTATTATTATTCTGCGACAAGTAAGGGTGAATTCGCAAAAGATTTCATCCTATTCGTTTTAGTATATCATCTCTGTATTTTATTTCAGGCGAATATTTCGAGTCGGCCATTTGTTACTTGACAAGTCGCGCACTTTCGTGTGGCGCTTCTGGCCTATTGATTAAAGTTTGGTTCATTGTTCCTTTGACTTCGATTTTGAATTGTAAACATGGCTGGCAATGATCTCGCTGATGCTTACTACAGCATACCTCGTATTACCAGATACTGGCTAACGGCCACGATTGTCTTGTCGTTGATTGGGAGGTTTGGGTTAATCAGTGCCTATTCCCTCATCCTGATCTGGAACAAGTTTTTCTACGAGCTCCAGGTTTGGTTTTGGTCATGTTTTATGAATTTCAGCTTTGGCGCCCCATAACTGCACTCTTCTTTTATCCCATTACACCCCAAACAGGACTCCACTTTCTCATTAATTTATACTTTCTCTATGCATATTCCACGCGCTTGGAAACAGGTAAGATGGGTCTGTGGTACACTCGTCTTAGGCACATACAGTGGAAGACCTGCGGACTATGTGTTCATGTTGCTTGTCAATTGGATAACGCTGACGGTATCCTTTTTATTCAACTATTAATGCACTATTTGATTTGTACTTTGGTGTGAGTAACTTACTTGTCTTCCCATGAACTCCGTGTTACAATTTAGTGCAATTGGCTTTCGTTTTGTTATTTACCATTCCGCCCAGTGACTTTAATTATTATTGGTCTAGTGCTAGAGCCTTGAGGTGCTTTTTTCGAGTTCTTAAGGTTATTTTTAATTGTAAGAACATTTGCGCTCAAATCTGAGATCATGGTATTTCGTATCTGTCACTTTTCTTTAATTATCTATTTAGCTGCTCAGTTTCCTCCTCAATATTTACGTGAGTTTGTTCTGTAATAATCACTAGGTTTAATAACGCCGCCTTCTTGAACTATATTTTTCAAATTCCAATTTCCTTTCCTTATTTCTGCATCAAATTTCATGAAGTTTCCTTGCTTACCACTGGAAGTCTTTCACATTCATCTTATGGGCATGGCAGTTTTTGGGTCTACTTTGTTTCTAACTCGCCTTATTTCGCCTAGCTTCTCTTCGAACCCATGGTGCTTAGTGTCATTTACGTTTGGAGCCAATTGAACAGGGATACGATTGTTCAGTTCTGGTTTGGAACCAGCTTCAAGGCCATATATTTTCCCTGGGTTCTCGTTGTATTTAATCTCATCATCCGTGGGAGGTACTTTTAACCTTTGTTTCGCCGCTTACGAATGCCAATTAATTTTTACGGCTTTAAGTTCATCCTCGATTGCTTGATGTGTTTTTTAATGTATTTTGAATAGCTCTGCTGAGTGATATTCTTCAAATATGTGTTTGTGATAAACACAGTAATCACAAATGAGTCAAATGCATAGATGCAATAAAATTGCGTGATCAACCTACATTTATAAAATAAATGTATTTGTCTTGGAATTTACTTTGTGCAATTATTGGTACGCACTGCCAGTAACTTACAGGCTTTCGCCATTCATGTCGCTATAATCGTTGGCGCATTCATCGTAGGCTTTTACAGTGTTTCGTATTTCTTTGCCTTCGCAGCGCTACTATGGAATTAATGGGGATTTTCGTTGGAAATGTCTATTACTTCTTTTCTCATCATTACCCTCTTGAGTACGGTGGGGTGCAGCTCTTGAAGACTCCTGAGTTTCTGTGAGTTATACTCCCCAATCTTTGATGTTGTTGTTTACTTTTTTTACTGAAATGGTTACAGTAGTTGTATTGATCTTAGTGCAATTGAGTCACACTAGGATGCCCTTTTCTCATAACCTCCACTAATGGGGAAATGGAATGTCTCATGACAACTATCAGCATTAGCAAAGGACATTCGATATATTAACTTGAAATGAACGGTACTTAAGCGCTGGGTACAGTCCTAAGGGGTGTTAAGTAACTGTTAGCAAATGGTCATTCTATTCTCTTTTTGTCGTTGCCTCTCAGGTATCGTTTGTTTCCAGTTGACCGAAACTTCGGTTCTGGCTTCGGTGTTCCCCCGCCTCGCATGCGAGGCAGTGATGACACCTCCAGTCGCGGATTTCCTGGTCGCGGGCGCACCCTTAACGAATGACTTACTGTTCCTTCTCTTCATCTTCTCCTCACCACTCAGAATGTGTATCCTGATGGGACTTCAATTTGCTCGATCGCCTACACTTTTTGGCGTTGCTCGCAAATCTGTGGTCTCTTCTCTACCTGTAGATAAGGTTTATTCTGATATTTCAAGCCGTTCATGTCCGAGAGTTGCATCTGCTTTTGGAATCTCCATTTGCTATTTTTGATGCTTCAACATTTGATGTGAATCGCTCGAAATTGATTTTCCGTTCTGAGCGTTCAATATAGTTATGAACGGCAGGCAAATTTGTTTCAAAATTGCGCTGCATCAGCACTTCGGACTTTAAATTTGGATGGGTTTGTAGTGCCTTAAAAAGGACATAGAACGACGTTTTTTATCACTTTGTCGTGTTGTAAGCTATTTTAACTTTGGCTATGCGGCTAAACACGGGTTTGAAGGCAAATCAAGACCGGTTCGCTATTAGCTTTCGATTGAGATCACTGGTATTGAGGTAGCTTGAACTTGTATCCCTGGTGTTAGTTGAGATTGGCAGCAAAAAAGGAATGTCCTGCTTGAAAAATGTGTTCTAAATGTCTGTTGTTTCTCAAATGCAATGACTGTTTCGTCTTTGGGCAGGTCAGTGCTTGTAAGTTTACATAGAACATCTAAATCAAGTGCTACTTCAAATTGTGCCGCATTTTGTAAGGCTTTTGTCGTACACATTAGCAACTGTTCACTCAAGGTGCTCTGGACCGCTCTTTTGTTGTGCGGATCTCCGAGCCAGCTCTGAGGGCGGTAGAGTGTACCGCGGTAGATAGTTATCACCAACATAGTAGGGTTGAGAGGCTCTGGCGGCATAACTATAGAACTGCGAAGACTCTAAGCTCTGTGCGTTCAAATACAGTATACTTTTAGTGTTGTGTAGGTTTATTGTATCAGCAAAAGTTGAGTTCAGGATTCATTTGTTTGGTAATAAAGATGCGCATTGAAAGCATTTCGAAATCTCATTTCTTATCAGCATATGATGGGCAAACTGAGAATTTCCTCGATAGCTCAGGCATTCTTGCTTTGCTCTAAGAACTATTGCATATCCACTCAGGCCACGGGTACCCCTCCTTCGAAGCCACTTGTTGTTGCATCCGAGCGTCCAAGGCTCGAGGACCGTGGGATCGGTATCACTGGTCTGTAGCATGAATCTTTAGGCAGCTTTGCCAAATTTGATTAGGACAGGATTATGATTTGCACCAGCATCTAATAACTGAGGTCATCTACAACCATGGTTTCCACCTGGTTTGGTTTTCTATGTAGCTATTAGGGTCATCAAAGCCTGCTTCACGGATGAGTCAAATTTAGGAGCATAACAACTTTCTCCTTAATCTGCCAGATGCCCCATTTCAAAATCGGCGTCGCAACTGTCATTATACCCTGTGTAGAGAGAAGGCCCATAAAGTTGTCTAGTAGCGTGCACAACACTTCTGCCTCATTTGTGCGTCATATTATTACCTGGAGAAGTTAGCTCACACACTCTTAAAAAAATTAGGTGATCCACCTACTTGCTTCCCTCGTGGTTGAAAAACTCAGTGGATTTTTGTGAATCCATCTGCCTCGTTTCCATGCGCAACTTTGTTCAGAATGATGAGTCAGACCTCATTCCCACTGCTGACTGGCACTGGTGGATCGCATCGTCTGCTTCTTCCTCAGTTTTTCACAAAACTTATTTCTGAGAGCCTCTGATAAGTCTAAAATCCTTCCAAGGCAATGCGGAATTAGCAGTTGAATTAATTTATGGTTTGTGCATGAACTCGTGTTAATCGTAACGTCGAACTTTGTCCTCCCCCGTGACTGTTGCCTTCATTACCGTTAGGAGATGTGCAAATTGTTTCAATCTTTTCACATACGATCATGTGTAATGGCTTTTTTACTCCTCTCGATTTGTCTCCTCGAGACAGTACAGATTCTTGAAGTATCCATCGTACTCCGGTGAAACAATGATTTTATCGTCTGAATCGCATAGATTTTTCCGGAAGCTTTTTCAACACTGCATCCACGGCGTCTGCTTTGCCGACATTTGTGTTTCTGATAAATCTCTTTTTTTAGATGGGAGTGATCTGCGGAAAGGCATTCGATACTACCGTTTCTCGCCGCTGTTAATTAAGCTAATTGCGGTTTTACCTTTGCGCAAATGCAAATGAGCATCTAAAAGTACCATTTCATCTATTCCTCTAAATTACTCCCTTTGTAGTGTGTAACTGCACGGACCGCTTCCACTAACCCGCCTTCTTTCAAAGCGGTCAGTAGTGTTAAAAGGGCATCTGATTAAAGGCATTCATGCATTTTCCAATTTTCAGTTTAAGTCTCTAGTTGTAAACAGCATCGCAACTCATTTGGCCGTATGAGTAAAGGTAAAGTTCCTTTTAATTTGCAGGAGGGAGCTATCGATGAGCCAATTTTCCCTCCTTTCAACTGATATTTATGTCTGCTGTGCGACTTTTGGAAGCGCCTGATGCCGTATTGGCACGTACTTTAGGATTGGCTATCTTTTCCACATTGCTGCTATTAATAGTCAAGTCCTTGCAGCAACTATGTTGCTAAGCGAGTTTTAAGTAATGATGCTTGTCCTGGTGGCAGTAGCCATTACCATCATATTGTTTGGAACCGAAAATGCGAGTTTCCTTTCATTAGGATGACGCTACACCTCTGCTTTATTTGATAATTGCGGGGTGTCTGATGAGACTTTTTTAATGCTGGGTGTCTCACAAAGGCTCACCTACACTACCTTTTGCGTCTGTCGCTGAATTTTTTCAGAGTACCTACGCCTGCATTAGAGTCTATTTATCAACCAAAAGTATCGCTATCTTTAAAGTTCATCAACACTGTTAGCAGCAGCCAACAACTGAGCAGAAGGAAATTAACTTTCAGCAAAACACCACAGCTTCTGTCAAGAACAGCTTAAAATGCAGCACTTCTCTGAAGCACTTTCCCTTGTGGTATGAAAATAGCATGCATTGTTCAAGTCTGAAAAGATTATTTTCGATGGCAACCAGTTTGTCGTTTGAGTTCGAAATAAGGTCTGCATGCCACCTATTTAGGTCATGGTTGCGTGACCCAGTCTGCTTGCCTGTACTACAACCAGGCAAACCGGCTTGATTCTCTGCGTGGTGCTGTAGGAGACACATGCAACTATTCGCTAGAGTGGGGCACAAAGTGTAGCCATGTCAGTCGAAGAATGCGCCTTAGTGAGTTACGTGCCTAACTTAAAATACTTTAAACCCTAGTGCAAAGAAACACTGACTCAACTCTGTCGCCTTTAGGAGTGGGAACTGCGTCATAGCTACGGATGCCTTCCATAGGGTTCCTTGTAGCAACGGGGCTAAAGCGAGCGTCTCCGGTGCTGCTGGCGGTGGTTGTGACACTGATGATGGCGGTGGTGATGGTGGAGAAGGATGAGGGTCAACCATTCGTAGTGTTTGTATGGGCTGATGTGGGTCCAAAATCGAGACCTACTTTTCATGTGAAACTTTGTGTGGTGTGTGAACTGATGCTGCACACAACCTAGACCTCATAAAGTGGTGCTCGCTTTGGGTGTGGTGCACTGTTGGTATAATCTCTTATTCAGAACGTCTTGCTGAACTGAGGAATGTCCTCTCAGTGCAAAAACTCAAGTTTATCGTGAACAAACTTTCCGTTCCCCGGGAGCAACCATTGGGACTGATCGATTGCTCGGCGAAGAAATCCATTCGTAAGGAGCAGCGAAAGACTTCATCCACTGTATCACTACAAATCATACTTCAGCGAAGAGAGTTGACGTCTTGGCTTCGTCCTCCTTCCAACATCATATTTCTTCCAGCCTTGAGTGAGTAAAAGGCTTTTTTGATGCTAGAGCCAAAATCTTGCATAGAAGTGACATTCACAAGTATGTGAGCAGTTGAGAGGGTTGTATGGGGTGTAGTGGCGATTGTCTCAATGACGAGATGATTATAGGAAGCTGTTTGTCGTTATTTGACTTCATTGAAGGTGATGCACATCGCATGTTTGGGAGCCGGTTTGTCTGTTTTCAGACTACTTACTAGAGGAGAACTTGAAGGCTGAAGCACCGTTTCGGAATAAAGCTGATGATTTCTCTCTTTTACAATGAATGCGTCCCAACAACACCGCTCTCTAACAAATCAAATCAGTTTCCTTTCACAAGGAAACTGATTGGCCTAAACCGATTTATGGCTAGGCATCTAGTCTGTCCACTTCAAGCACAAATCTTTCCCAAATCTAAGCGACGATTTCTTGCAAAAGCAAATCCTTTCTCTTGAGGATTAAACTCACGGTCGACAAAAAGTACCATTGCACTGCGAAATCGCTCTTAATCAAACTAAAGACCAAAATGGTAAACATCTGTCGGAAACCTGTTGGCGTCAGTAGAGGATATTTCTTTTTTCGAAGCAGAAGGAGTTTTTGCGGCCTTTTTCTTCCCCTTAGCTCCACTGATCGAGTTTGAGCAAACGCATCTCATTCTCAACCCCAAAGTCTGCTTCCCTCCCTGTGAGGAGTCAGTTAAGCTCTCGTAGTAGTGAATAATTTTTGTTAGGTAAATTTGATGGAACCTAAGTTTTAATTATTCAAGAGAACTGAACGATTTGCTACTGCATCAAGTATTGGGTCTTTGATTCCAACGACGAGCGATAATTTGTGCGCAACTATTTTCGCCGTCGGCGCTAATTTGTCTCTCAGAATGCCCAAAATGCGAAGTAAATGTCGCCTCGACCTTATCTTTGAAAGCCACCTTTCTATCCTCCAACCTATAAACGAGGGTGCCACCCTTTCCTTGCCACAGCGTGGATACTGAGGTCGAAAGTCTCCTTAACACTGAGAACTCGTAAATAAGCAGGTACGATAAAGCGACAACGTTTAAGTACTTGCATGATTTAAGGATGCATATCGTAATCGCAGCGAAGTAGTGGAGTTTTGCCAGCTCAACAACAGTAGGCCTCAGTAATTTGCCTCACAATTGAAGCCAGTCGCGATTTGGCCAACAACGCAATCTTTCTTCCTTACGAGACGCGGATCAGTGGAATGTTAAAACGACATGGGCTCCTCGCCATTGCTCCATGGTCGCAAGACAGGCTGGAATGGTCTGGCCACTCTGCCACATGGCTCCGCTGGTGTGGCTTATCATCGGTCACATCGGAATCGTAAGATGCAAATTCGCCACCGCCAACGATTTAAAGGAAAGTTGGCATTCGCTGCTCAACCCATAAAATTAAGGTTGCTCGATTCCACCATCGTGATTCACTGAAACTGAAGTAGCTTTCATTTCATAGATGTTGTTTCCGAAAATCGTTTTGCAGCTGGGTCGACATTGTCACTCCGTCACTTTTTGCTGAAGTATAGCAATTTCCCAATCCTCTATAATGACATCTTTCATAGTATGGAGCCTTGATATTCTGTTGATGACAAAGTAGGACACTGCTTGGACAAAGCACGTAGTATAAGAGAGTGGTAGGACTTGGCGACTGCTGACATGGTCTGGAGTCCATCGAATGCACAAATGTCACGCCTCAAACAAGCAAGCAAGCTTCGTATTTAGTAGCCTCTATCATTTCTGAGCGTCGTCTTCGGAGTCACTTTGTTCAACTTCCGACACCAGCCAACACCTGACATTCGAGGCTGTGAGGGAATCGTGCCAGTCATCGAATTTACAAGCAACTCATTAGAGTTGTCTACCCGTTTTGCCTATCATAGATCCATGCGTCCAATCCAAGTTGTTAAGAAATGGAGAAAGTACCATGACACTGAGATACTTTCTTCCGTTAGGGATTGTTATCGCCACTCCTACTAGCTGCAATATGTGCCCCTCCCACCTGGCTAAGGCTTGTCACTCACCAACAGAAATATGGGGACTCATCCTTTAAAGTGAGGTCCGCTAACTGCTGCTGCAAATGTAGCGTCCGTGACCACTTTGGGGACTGAAGTAGACATTGTGTTGGATCTGAGTGTATGTTGCAGGCGTGGAAAAGGAATTAGGACTACTGTCATGGGTCGGTGACCAGGTTGACAGGCAAGGGCGAAGCTCATCATCAGATCATCAACAAAGTCAGGAATTATGCAAACAAATGACGCACTGTAGGAGTGGTGAAGGTGTTATTTTGCCGACCCGTCGCAGGTATAATTCAAGGTCTGGAAAGTGATTCAGCGTAGGCACTGATAGGCACCTTGACAGCATCACAATGTAATGCGTCCCTTTACGGGAAAACAGTTGGGTGTGAGCATTTGACTGCCTAACGCGATGCATCATTCCAACATACTTCTAATTGGGTAGATATGTTTCGTCTCTCCAAGATTACATGGCAGGAAGAGCACACTTCTCAATCGATGTTGAATTTAAAGCCGACTTTTTAATGCTGTCATGGTCACAAGACGATGACATCCAGAGCGACGGCACGTTTGCCACATGTGCCGCCAATAAATTATCTTCCCTCATAAGACTGTCCTAGATTTGCGACAAGAATTGGAGACATGATGCTTGTGTGGCCAGGGTAGTCAAGGCGTTCAGCACGCGTGATGGCATCCGGTCCCCCATAAAAAAAACGAGCAAAAATAGTTCCTTAACAGTCCTCTGAAATGTGAAACCATGCTTCATAGTTCAGCTGGGGGGCTATGCTCAAACTTTCAGAATTTTCAAATTACAAGTAACTCAAAGTATTGCATCAACTAAGGCTACAGACTGACTCATACGCAATCTCTTTACTTGACTCCTATAATAGCTTGAGGATGGAGGAATTACTAATCAAAGGAGTTTTGAAAGGAACTTCCAAAGCATTTAAAAGAAGTTTTAAAATAGCCTTGGCAACGGATCCTGTACCTTGTTGCAAAGTGAAACACCCGATGATGTGCGATACATCATCATAAGCACGACCCAACGGGGTCACTGCTAAAATAGGTGATAACACGGTGACGCGCACGCGTGCACACATACGCACGCACCGCACACAAAACAGAGGATGCACGTGCGCACCGATCGATAGTGCTTGTACGATGTAGACCGACACACCAAAGTCAGAGGTATAGCTCTGCGCGTGTCGAATGAAAGCGCGCAGCTCTGATTGGTGCAGACATGAATGCAAGCGCTTTATTGGTTGACTGGCCAGTTGTCCTTTGCGCAGGATTGGCAACTGTATGCGCGTGCCAAAATGCGTTGGGGCTGTGTAGCATTGAGAAGCAGCTGACTTCCCCGTGAAATGCGTTCATTTCATAAGACCACGTATAAATAAGTTCATTAATAAATTTTGTTTATTGTAATGGCTGAGGTTCCAGGATGTTCCCTTCCTACTTCTACTGAGGATCTTAGTCCTGAGGAGGTGGCTCTGCAAAATGAAATTGCCTCGTTAAAAGCCCAGTTGGAAGCTGCACGAAAGGAGGTCGCTGATACGGATTTTTACACAATGACAAAGGAGGTCGTTGAGTTGGGGCGATTGAAATTCAAATTCCGCAAGACGCTTCGAGGCCACATAGCGAAAGTTGCTTCAGTTAGATGGGCTTCTGATAGCCAGCTAATCCTATCTGCAGGGCAAGACGGAAAACTCATCGTATGGGATGGTCATACCGCGAACAAAGTGCGGATGATTCCTCTTAAAACTGCCTGGGTGTTAGGCTGTGCCATCTCACCCAGTATGCATCAAGTTGTGAGTGGTGGACTGGATAACCTCATATCGGTTTTCAGCTTGAGTTCTCCCGAAGGTACTCCAGCACAACTCATTCAGGAACTTGCTGGTCACAGTGGATATATTTCTAGTTTGGATTATATTGATGAAACAAAACTGCTGAGTGCATCCGGTGATAAAACTCTTGGGCTATGGGACATGGAGAAGGGGGAGCTAGTCTCTACATTCTCCGGGCACACAAACGACGTGAATAGTGTACGAGTGTGTCGTACAAACAAGAATCTCGCCGTGTCTGTTTCTTCCGACTACACCTGTCGCACATGGGACATTAGGAATGCAAAATGCACCCAGCTTTTTGAGGGCCATGAGCAAGATGTCAATGGTGTTGACATATTCCCCAGCGGTCAGGCGTTTGCGACGTCATCAGACGATACTTCGTGTCGTTTGTGGGACATTCGCTCCGATCAGGCTGTTGCTGCATACGTAGACGAGTTTATCCAATGTGGTAGCACTTGCGTGGCCCTCTCCCGTTCCGGTCGTGTTCTGATAGCTGGTTACGACGACTTCAACTGTCACGTGTGGGATGTGCTCAGGGAAGAGCGTGTCGGTATCATGTCAGCACATGACGCTCGTGTCTCCTCTCTCGCTGTGAACGAGATGGGAAATGCAATCGTTACGGGCTCCTGGGATTCACTGTGCTATGTTTGGACAGCCAAATGAATTCCTTTGTTAGAAAAATATTCTCTGCTCCCACGCACCCTCTAGTCTGATTTTGTTCTTAACATGCAACTATGGGAAGGTCAATTGTTCTTAGCGAATTTTCGCATCGTTCTCTACGATTACTACTTGCTAAAACTGCAACCAGTATCATCTACAGCAACCGCTCCCTCTTCTCGATCTGCGGACGTTTGTTCCTCCTGTCGAACGATTTCGCACCTTTTCTCCGCACCAACACGCAAAGCCAGTGTTGCATGAGTAGACATAGCGCCAGGCCTGCGGCAAAAATCCTCATTTATTTCGCCTTCCTCCTCCTTCATTAACACATCACATGGAATAAGGTCGTTTCCCTTGGTTTTACTCCCTCCATTCGGCACTGTGCCCCTCCTCTCTACAAACCGCCGTCCCTGCGTGAGCTCCTCTTACCCTTCTTTCTTGCCTTTTGCATTAACTCTCAAGTCTACATTGTATATTGTGTCAAAGTATAAATTATTACATTTTTGCCAGAGATGCACTTGTTTTGCCCTATTTTGGCATTGATTTTGTCCATCACCAGTGTCCTGTTAGTTTGGTTTATGCGCTTCAAGCTCTGCACCTCTACTGTCATTTTTTTGTCATTAGAGTAGTTCACCTTTCACCACTCTAAGCTTGACGACTGGTGAGGTAATCTAGACGCTGTTTTTACACATTTTCTGAAAGTAAAACTATGCATTACTTCAGGGACATGCAAAATGGGTAATGTGTGCTAATAAATTTTTTTGTACTTTTTTTCCTAACTTTAGATAGAAGTTGTATGAGATTATCAGAACGGCATTGCATTCACTGACTTTGTAGTTTTGGTGACTCTATTGATGCAATCTTGTGAAGATATGTCGGCTAGTTAATGGATTAGCGCCACTCTTATGATTTCTGATTAACCATGCGTTATACGCGACATGCTTTTTGCGCAATATAATGCACTGATGCGAGAGGTTAGTTGAGATGATTGATATCCGAGTAGGTTGTGAGAATGGACACTCTTCACGCTCTTTGAACATATTCAGTGCTTGAAGACGCTTTAGATTGCACAAACTTTTTCTCGCGGACATAGGTGACTCCCAAACAGCTTTCATGTTACTTTCTCCCTTCATTCCTTATTCATCTCCGTTTTGAGAGCAATCAGTGGTCTATCATATTTGAACATGCTACCTTTTTCTTTTGCCAGATAATTACAAACTTTGTTTAACATCTGATAGGCATGACGGTTAAAACTACGGTGGTACTCTGAATAAACGGTATTTGTTAACCCTGAATGCAATCGGACTTGGGAGATAAGGCTTAACTCGAATGCCCGATGTTGTCAGTAGGATCAAGGGTGTGGCAGATGGCAAGACCTGCAACGAGTTTATTCTAGCGGCTCGCTCCCAAATGATTTCGCCGCTTCTGACACCACATGAGTCACCACCAGTAAATGATTCATAAACCGCTTTATCAAAGGGCTGGAACTTTGTTATTCCTTGCTGCATTGTCGTAGGGTGGTCTCACCAACATTGATGAGGTACAGCGGCGGAGTAACAATGATCTTGCGTAAACACATAGCTACGTCAGTCGGAAGTTGGTATTTGTTTGTTTGTTTGTTTGGACTTTGATCGAACCGACGTTGAAAGTCACTTTTCTGTCAATTCTGGTAGTGCATCTGGTGCAGAATCCTGGCTTTAACTCTGGTTTATCCCTACCGCCTTTACGATACCTCTTACTGCTACCTTAAAGCAAGGGCAGCTTAGCCACAGACGAATTTTCGTCCCACAGAATAAGCTATCAGGTTGCTACTTGCTTTGGGATTCAGATTGTGGAGCAGAGCACAGGGCTTATATAAAGAAGAAACACTTTGTGACCCTGATCGCAGAGTCCTCATCCGAAGGGGTTAGGATGATTCCGGGCATAGATTGAGTGGGTTGTATTGTATGGATCCGATCACCGTTGGAATGCGGCTTTGTGAGTCTTGGGAGTTTGATCAACAACTTTACAAAACCTCTGCTGCCATCGCATTGTATTTGGCACGCTCTTTGCAGTCTTAGCTACTCCTAATGGTGGCCACTCAGAAGCGGCTAAAACATTCTCTTTTTCCTCGTAGTCAGCAAAAAATGAAGAGGAATGGAGTAAGTTAAAATGAGATTCTCGTCGGTTGGGTTAAATTACTGCCCTTCCTCTCCAGCCACAAGACATTATTCTACCAGCTTTGCTTAGAAAAGTGAATATGATTCTTAATCGTGGACTTTAGAGTTGAAGTAATTCACATTCTTTAGCTGTAATCTGATTGCTTGGTCGATAGTGAGTGGCTCATCATTTTGTTCCAGACATTAGTACTTGCAATCAGAGCCAGCCCAATCTAACCGCGAGACTGGAGGCGTCGTCAAAGCCTCCAAGACGAAGGCGAGACCATTTAACCAACGAAGTTTTTACAAACAGTTTTGGTGGGAAGATCATCGTTCTTCAAACATCCAGTTCTGATATCCAAAGGGATTAATATTATTGGTAATTAAATCCAAGGAAAAAAGGGATTCAATGCATGGCATAATTTACACTCCTTTGTCCTTAAAAATCTCGTCTTTCATTTGCAATGGAGATTATTATTTTGCCTCCTGAGCATCTTCCGCTTCATATTTGCTTAGAATTTGTCCTGGCAGAGGTAGCGTCCGGAGCGATTTGACAATTGATATGAGACGACGGCTGGGGTTGAAAATGAGCCAAGTAAAGGCGCATCCAGCTGGAACGTCATTTATGAAGCTGAGATACATTTTCTCGAACCCCAGCGGCCAGCCATCCACGGCATACCGCGAGGAGGGTTGTTCGAGAGGCAAATTATCCATTTTGCTGTCGGGCGGGTCGCCACCATATGTTTCTGGCTTGCATGGCAAGCACTTCGTCTTCTTCCTGTCAAACACAAACCTATTCAAAACAAATTCTGGTGCTCCGATTTTGCTTCACATGGTGGATTTGGGGTTTGTTTGTCCTAGCGAGGTAAACTAAGACCATTTCATAGATTTTTCGAGATTTTATGAGGCTGCAGTAGATGGCATGTCAGCAATACCAATGTAATGGTCGTATTTGTGGCCTGTGCTCATTGTGCATTAGTATGCAATTCCAAATTCCTTCCCAAAATTTTCATACCAACGCTGCGACAAGAAAAAATGCATTAAAAGATAAGAGAACAACTATGCAGACATAATAAGACAGAGCCTGGACTAGAAATGCCTTTTCTATGGTACTATGAGAGTCAGCACTGGGGTCCTCATTCGAGAGGACTGTATGCATAAGAAGGCAGCTAAGATGTGAGCTCATGACTCCTCCCTCTCGGTTTCTTTCGTCTAACCAGCTCCAATCCTCATTCCTGCTTGGCGGTGTAGTGTGAATGGGCTAAATAATGGCAAGGATATTTGTATATGCACTGAAACCAACCACGTTTCGCAGCCAACTTGAGTTGATTCCTCTCCGCTCCTCTAACTTCCGTACAGCAGAATAAAAGTCAATTAAGTAACCTTAACTTTGTGGCATCTTGCGAATTCAAGTTACTATGGTGGCAGCCCCACCAGTCACTTAGAGAAAAAGTGTGCATGCAGATTCCAAAATCGCTCCACAAATGTTTACTAACAGATAAGATGCAATTGCAATGGATAGTCTATAAACGCAGGGAAATTTGGGGCTGTGGATTGCACCGCCCACAAGAGGTGTGGCCAGTCGGTCAACTTTCATTGGCACCCCCCTCTCCATTTGGGCCGGCTTCGCATCCCCATAAAATGTACAGCCAGCTAGATTTCCTGCTTTCTGTGATGCACACAAAGCCATATTTGGCCAAAAATGTATCCGAGCACGGAAGTTAGTTTGGAGCAAGTGTTAATACCCTTTTCCTGCAGCTGCAGTGATGTACTAATGGCGGTGTCGATGTAACCATAGAAAAGCAAGAAAAATCTGATTTGGTTCCACAAAGAATTATGGTCAATGGAAGGAACCTGTACTAATGAACGACAGTAACTCAAAAGAAACGTCTACAGGCCTACCTTTAAAGAGCAATGGTTTGGAGAAAAGTTGGTAAATATTTATAAAGGTAACAGAGGGATCACTCGCTAGCATAGTTTCCCACTACCAAAGAAGGCACATACCGAAGGCGATGGAAGTATCAATGATTAGCATTTCTTATCAACCTTCCAATTAAAAGTTCGAAAAGGCTTTAAGCATATAAAGCCTCTCAATTGATTTTAAACCGCTTTCGCCTTCCCTTTTTACCTATCGTCAGGGTAGGTGAATTAATGTTTACCTAGACAATTCAAGGCTAGACACTACTCAGTGGACAATTAGTGAGTGCATGATGCGGTCTGCAAAGTTCAGTGACAGTAACTAAAAGATCATTCAGAAAAGCTAGATGGCAGGCGAATAAATTGTTGCTCAATGGGTCACTACAAAAAGACACCGGTGAAACAGCCTTCACGTTTCAGTATATCACCAATGTATAACAGGAGAATTTGGAGGGAAAATAGGAAAGAAGAGCCATCACCTTCACACCTTTTGGAAGGAGATAAAATATTTGAAGGAAACCAAGTCTACATTTTATTCCGGCAATCACCAAAATCAAACCACTAATAAATGCAGCGACTTTAATGAAACTCTTTTTAGCCTTAGAAGAATGGAGTAACGCGTCGAGAAAGAGCACTCTTATGTAAAAAAACCAGCCCTTCAAGTAAAAAGACCTAGAGTAATGAAGGGGAATTTAAGCAAGCCATTCTATAAACCAAGTAATGGGATGTCTCAGAAATTCAGGAACATTCAACATAACTGATGTTAAGTACACTGCCAATTCGTTCGAGGGGGAACTTTTCCACAATATGCAGCTCATTCTGTCAAGCAGTGCTAGCAGCGAACCGCGTTACGCCGAACCGCAAGCTAAAGAGTCGCAATTTCGTTCGATTAAACCGATGCTGGCGTCTGAGGAGGGGACTAAGTATATTATCTCGCCAGCATGTGGTCTGGAATAGCACGGAACATTAGATGCACGGCAATAGGAAACCACACCTTGCCCAATTATGACTGAATCCTGACTAGAGATAGGCAGAGCACTGTTGACTACACCAGAAAGGGGCGTGATCATTCTCCCAAGGGATGACGGGGAAACCGAAGAGGGACGCTACAAGTATGAACACAGTACCTCCAAAAAACAGGAGCGCTCAAGAAGTGATTGCTCTAGATTTTGTAATTCCGGCAGAGCCGAAAGCTGAAAAGCTAGAAGCAGTGACCAACCTTGAGTAGTCGCGGTAGAAACACGACCTTCCATTCAAGATTTGCAGTGAAAATGTTTACTTAAACAACATAAGCAGCACTGGAGTAGCAGCGCATATCAGTGATCGAAAATAAATAGTTCATTTCCTTCCGATTCAGTGGGACAACAGGTTGGATGCAGCCACCAAACTTAGCAAGTGAAGAATGCATCTTGCTCAGCAAAATTTATCTCGATAAAAAATGAGCTTCAGATAAATACATAAACTTCAACAGCTACAAAAACCACATTCAACGAGTTAAAAAAAAAGTAAAAACCTGTACATGTAAGATACGGTTACGCTCATCAATGATCTCCCAATTCCATGCCGCCAATATCCAACTCCTCATCATTATAGATGTTCTCAGCCTAAAAACCCAATCAACGATGATAAATGACCTAAGGGAGATCTACCATTTGCCAGATTTGAAGGATATTGTCTTCCGAGACGGAACAAATGACCCAGGGTTCATTAACATTCCATGTAAAGTCTGAGATCTTGGCAGTATGACCTGCGTGGATAAAGAGCAGTTCGGGAGGCCCATCTTCGGCATCCTCAGTAGTTTGATCAACACCAATTTTGCTTAGGTCCCAAATGTGCAACCGCCGATCCGTGCCCGATGAGGCCAAAATCGTCTCGTTGTGCGGCGACCATTGAACCTAAAGCAAGATAACAAATGCACACGGTTCCTGGCACTAGCAAACTTTCTTCGAGCAACCGAGTATAAGGAAAAAAATCTGATGACAACAAACCATTAAAAACATACAATGTTGGCTCTATGTATAGTTGGCTTGTGGACTGAAAATAATCACCTGGAAGATTTCGTCTCGATGTGATTCAAAGGAATGTAACTTCAGACGCAGGTTTCGGAGATCCCACAAAGCGACAGTCTGAAGGGTACAAAACTTTTAGATTATATGCTCCTAAATAAGAACATTACGAACGCAAAGACAGCTCATGCAAGAACATACCTTATCAGCACTACCAGTGGCAAGAATAAACTCTGAGAATGGATTGAAAGCCAGACAGTTGACTTCAGCTGTATGCGCGTCTACCTGGTGCTGGGCTTTGTTTCTTGATGCGCTTCGAGTATCCCAAATCATCAATTTGTTGTCATCTGCCACGGAACCAAAAATGTGACCGTGCATAAGATGCCAAGCCACATCCTCAACCACCGAATGGTGACCAGTGAAGATGGCCATGGCATCAATGCAACGACCATCTAGTGGTGAGCCCGAAATGTCCCACAAACAAATGGTTTGGTCATCGGATGCTGAGAGAAGATGACCACTGTGAGTGGCATTCCATGACAGGCCATAACCTTCCTTTTGATGCCCCTAAGTGATAATATGCTTGAAGTACACTTTCCCGTACCTTTAACCGTAGATCGGGCTGAGAGCCAAGTTCTGACGAGGGTCGAACGGGATGATTTGCATAATCAAAAACAAGCACATCTCCGCTTGGTGTCTTTGTCGCAATAATATCGGGATTTTGGGGCATGTACCTGGCACGATTTACCTCACCCTCGTGATTAATTTTCATGGTGATTTCTAGCTTTCCAGACGGAAAATAAAATCCTCCGAAATTTCCCTTCTCACTCTCATAGGTGCTAGCATCGAATTCAGCGCTGTCATTAGGAAGGTGAACTGTGGCAATAAGTAAGTGATTCTGCTCATCTGATGTGTGAGTACCGAGAATAAGACGATGAATCGAATAATCCTCATCAGTCCTAGTCAATAAATGAGAAAACAGGAGGCGTACGTCTCAACAACAGGAAGCCATTGGGCAGATAAACTTGGCCACTCCAAAGCATGGGACATCAGCATGTCGTATAGAAATGGAGTATTCCGTTTCCATATCTTATATTCTTCATTGATAACACGTTCTTCGATAATGTCTTCCGACTCAGCAACATGCATTGATTGCTAGAAGGAATAGAATCTCAAACCTCAAATCACCCTAACCATCATCCTCCCCGACCATCTATTTGGTGCCGTTGAAGCTGCTGTGCTAAGTTGATAGCTTAAAACAAGTAACCCAAAGCGTTACGGAACCAGTTATAATTTTAAACGGTCTATTCGGCCTGCAATTAGGCTTCCTTTCCTTTTCTTAATATTCGATGTTATGCGACTGGAGAATGGGCCTGTGTTTATTCGGTTATGGCTTAAAAGATTAGTAAGGCTAGTTGTTTAAATAAATCCAAGGGAGTAGAAATAAAATTTTGGTTCAATCTTTGGAAAAAGTTAATTTATTTTTAGTTTCTTTTAGCTGAAATACGAATTACATCGATAATTACACCTACTTAACTAATGTGCAATAATGGTGACATAGAACTCTTATTGCTCCCCTTTTTATCCTTTTGACAATGAAGTCAAGTACACGGGTTTCCACCGGGCTGACGACCTAGTGTGTGAGGACTTCGCTTACAAGCTCCCGCCTTGGTTACTCCCATAGTTTTGGGTACTTGAGTATTTTTATCTTTTACTAGCCTTGGGTAGGGCTCTGGTTTAGTGCTTAGTAAATGCTGGGGTTGGACTGTTCGAGTTAATACACTCTTACAATATGTTGGTAGGAGCTTTGTGAAATTTCCTTCCAACTAGTTCATATCGCTGGCTGCAACTTAATTATTCCACCGCTCTATTCATAAATTCTTAGTCTGGCTCCATTCAAGTGTGTTCAGCTAACAAGTTTTCGGCTTTGGGTATGTGTATTTTCTACAGAGGATGCGTTATTTCAAAAACCCCTACGTTGGACCGCTAGGCGAAGTTCCTAGTGAAACTCCACTTCCTTCCGTTGATGACTTAGCGCAATGGGCTTCTGACATGGTGAAAGAATCCTTCCAGGTAAGCTAAGGTTTCTCGAAAGTCTTAGGAGGGTTATCCGAAAAGTCCTTTTCGCTTTTATTGCTTATGTGTTCTGGTCTTGTTCTCCGTGGTCGTTGTCACTTGATAGAATTGATTTCGAATCGATTTTGACGTTCCTGCATCCTTATCCCGAACATCATTCAAAGATAAAGTTCTCGGGACATAACCGAGTCTCTCTACTTGGACTTATTGCTTCCTTTGTGCCTTTTTCCAGCTGGGATACTTTCTGTTTTATTTCATTTATACTTTTATCCATTCTATAAGAATACCGCTAGTTCAGAGGACATTATTTTTAATATGTTCCCTCCTTAGATATCATGCCGTAAAATTTCTATTCACGATGGGGGCCTTTATGTCGGTGGCATCGGTGTGGCCTGGGCTGCTCTTCGGGTAATGCAAAGACTAGGGGAAAGGGGCTTTGAAACTTTCCTCCCGCAAGTTCGTAAGTACATCGAAGGAGTTGTCAATAAGGCTGCACGGGATGGGCCACGCGATAACGAAGAGCGTCTCTCTTTCCTCCTTGGCATGCCTGGCATGTGGCTTACCGTGGCTTGCCTCTATCAGGTTTGACGAGTGGTGGCGTTAGTGCTACTGAAATGTTATTAAGTGAGCAGATTATTTTCCTTCTAGATGTCTGGCGAGATCGTTGAACGGGACCGTTTTTTGGGACTGTATGCGCAACTTGCGCCAGTGTTTGCCTCCCTTCAGTCAGGAAACGCAAAAACCATATTTCCTCAGGGTTCTGATGAGTTTTTTATTGGTCGCGCAGGTTACTTGTGCGGTTTGCATGAACTCCGCAAAATTACGTCTGAGGTGGGTTCGTTTTTGCAGTGTCGAATTTAATAGCTATATGAATCGCCTATTAATTCGAATAAATTCATTTTGGATTTGCTCATGATAGCATCGCTAGTGTAATTACCGCGGATTTCATAAACACGTTTGGTCGAAAGCATTAACTGCTGTTCTTATTGGCTTCACTATAACATTTTCGACTACCCATCCAAAAATAGCTATTCTGTTGGTCAAACTGTCACCTTGGTATGGTGACGTGCATAAGCTATTTGTATATCAGAGGGCTGAGACCTTTACATTAGACACCAAAAACGATCTAAATCAAATACCAATGCAAAATCACCCTTGCAATCGCGAACAACGAGCTAGGAAACGTTAGTTCTCATCCCTGATGAGATTATAATGGTCTTTCCAAGACCCTCATAGTGACTAGCCCTTTTTTACGATAAATGATTCACCATGGTTGCATTTCTGCAGTGAAGCATTAAATGTTGGGGAAGGGTTGGTAGTCGTTACATTGGAATGCAAATGCTCCACTAATCAACACTGATCCAACATTTCTTTCGCAAAGAAAAGACGTATGACTAAACTTCTTCTAGGAGGTTGTCTCGGACGAGACGATTTTTGCCATCTGCGATGCCATAATCGACTCAGGCACTGCCTATGCCAAAAAGTACCATTCACAGTGCCCCCTTATGTTTGCCTATTACGGAACCGAGTACTTGGGTAAGTTTCCTTCCTTCTGCTTCATTTTTCCAGGTGTCAAAGGAGAATTGCATGAAGTCCTTGGGTGTTTATTTGTTTTTTATGATAGACCAAAGAAGTATAACAATGTCACTCCACATTGTAATGATTTCCACTGTCTCATCTAAGTCCAGCGTCACAGATATGCGACATATGTCCTTTATTAGTGGGTTATAACTAGTTGTGCTGTATAGTATAGAAAGTAAATTAGTTGAACCAAAAGCAATAAAATAAACGCAAAATATTCTTAGTTTGGGGATAATTGTAGCTTGTGGTTTTTGGAGCGGAAGTTGAATTGGTATAGCTGAATAATGCCAACTGGTGTCATGCAAACAATATAGCGTTTGAGTCGTGGTTATCGGAGTTCTCCCAACATTCTGCCGGACCCTATGAAAGGGTACTATATTCAAAAATTTGGTTGTACTACAAACGGATGGCTCTAAAACAAGACTAATTAAAGCTTATTTACTACAGATTAGGCGGTGGTTGAAAAATCCTGTTTTGGTAGTTAAACGGTTTTGATAACCATCCGCTACCGGAATGGAGGAATGGGGACGCGACGTCTTTTGGCTATGAAGGGGAGAGTGGTCGCAGTTTGACTTTCGCCAGGCAACAAACATTTACTGTTATTGGGTGTATACGATGAGATCGGTCCTCTGGCTAACAAGTTGAGGGGACGCAAAACTCCACATGTATCGCCACAATTCGTAACGTGATAAGATTTGAAAATAATTCGTTTATAATATTAAGTTTGCTACTTACAAAGAGCCTGAAGGACAAGTTGTTGTACTCTTTTTTATGTACTCCATAAACCGCCCATTCGAACCTTTTGAATAATATAATGAGTTCTTTTTATTTACTATGAACGACTGTCGATATCACCCTAATCACCCCCTCAATACCTGCGTGTGCTCAAAAAGTTATTCACTTCGTCCTCAAAGGAGCTTTTTCAAATTTAAAAATAAAAGGTATAAAGCCATGGTGGACCAATGAAAAACTGTGGACAGGCAACACCCAGATTGCACTGATTATTGTTTTATTTGCACGTTTTTGGAAACCCTAAGACTAGCAAGTTTTTCCCCCCATCGACTCAGTGGTGTGTTACAGGGGCAGCGCACGGACTGGCAGGCATTCTCTTCGCTTTAATGCTCTTTCCTCGATACTTACAAACTCACAAAGTGGCCGCAGAGGCAGTGCGGGCAGCAGTGGACTACCTGATTGCAGTTACCCCCTCAGATACTGGCAATCTGCCCACTGCCACTGACGAACTTCCGCCAAATCGCCGTCCTGTTTCTGATGAGCTCGTTCATTGGTGCCACGGTGATGCCGGTCAGCTACTCCCTTCTCCTTTTTATCGCTCTATTGATTTTTTTGGAATATTATGATACCAACTGCACATAGCACTCTGTGTTTGTGTTCCATAATTGCCCCTCTTTTGGATGTCAATTATGACCTCTGGGCTGTCACACTAGACTCAGATGTTGTGATTATGCGAGGTCAAATAGCATGCTTCTTTGACACTACAAACCATGATAACAGGCTTCCAGTACCTCTGAATGCTCTTCAGGCCTTCTGAACTGTCCACTCATCTGGCGGTGTTGTTAGGCCAGGCGGGAGGTAGTTGTTGAGTTCGGTGGCTTGAACCGCAAATCTAGCCCAAATGACTTTGGATTCCTGTAATTGCGTGCATTAATATGCTGCACTTCCTTTGAAGATTGTAGCGCTACCACTTCTTGTCTCACTTCACTTTGCCTTGCAAACAGACGCGTATACTTCATTAGCTTCCAAATCACCTTTTAGGATTTTTTATGTTTTCGTTTTACAACTTATTTGAACAGGAGATCATGCGTGAATGATCAATATTTTGGCACTCAACAAAGTACACAAAATCTCAACTTTCGGATATTTCTCCTTCGCCTTAAATAAGGAATGCGAAGCCATTATGAGATGGATGATAACTTTGTAACTTAATTTCTAGACGGGATTGTTTTCTTAGTGCTGGATGTGTGAAGAAATAGTCTTAGTTTGCGGATTTTATTTCCTTCGTGCTTTTCGGGCCTGAATGCTTGATGAGGTTGCTGCTATCTCAGCGAAGAGAGTATCAGTTTACCAGACAAAGTGGATTATTTTCGTCACGTAAAGCCTTTCAGAGTTCAAGATCTGTTGCGTGCCTCAAGCTCGCCACAACAACTTTGACTCAGTTAAATAATTATGCCTATATGGAGATCAGCCAATTGAACACTACTACGTAAACAATACTAATTCAACTAAAGTAAATGCGAGTGTTTGTTATTCGTGTACAGTCTGATACTTGTTTGTGCTATCCTTTCTCCACTCTCGTGATTTAAAAAAATGCATATTTTTATGGAAGCTCATTACCTTAATGGCCCATAAACGGACAGAATTTTATTTATTCGTTTGACATCTACCCTATACTTTCCTTTGCAGTGCTTTCATCTGTTTGTGGCGACCATTATGGAGACTCATTTACGCCGTCTGTTTTTGAGTTTGTACTGTTCATACTATCGAAACAACGTGGTTACCATTGGCCATGAACAGTGAGTTGCGGTAGTTCGTATGGTAGGACACTTTTTGAATGTCATCGAAATGGTGAATGGGACTTGCAACGACTGCAATCGAATTTCCACATAGTTTATCATGGATAGTATTGCTGATGAATGGAGGAGGGTGAACGCATACTTTTTTTCTTTTTCTCGAAGTTGGCTTTGAATCGGGCATGGACTCTAGTTTTGCTGTGTAATACAATTGGGGGAAGACATTGCTCCATTTATTTTAGATGGAAGCTCAAATCGCCAGGCTGGGTCTTAATATTCAGTGCCTCTCTGAATATCTCTATGGTGTCTGGTGGTATTTTTCTTGCAAAATGGAGGGAGATGGTTTGTCCTTTCCACTACTTTGAGCTTGAAAAATGTGGTTTTGTTACTGCAAGCCGATTTGTATAAAGGTGGATAGCGAAACCTGAACTGTAACTTAGTAGAAACAAGCCGACTGCCAGTGTAATTAGGATCCATTTCTCCCAAATTCCATGTAGAATTCTGAAGCCTCTTTTAACACTAACGAAGGCACCACATTCAAATGAACATGCATTGCCGATTTGTGAGAATGCCTTGGGGCTACAGACACGGTCCGGAAACTATTTCATCAAGTATAGACGCAGTGATCCCTTGACCAAAGCCAAGAGTTTGTTAAACGATTAATACGCTGCAGTTCGCCGTGCCGACTGTTCCTTGTTTATTCATACTTGAATTATCATAATTGTGTGTGTGGAAATGGATAGGTGTGAATCCCCAACACTCCAGTACAGATGCGTTAGACAAGCATTTAATTGGACACTCACGCAAATTGTCTCAAAGGAGTGAACTGCTTCAAACGGAACAACGAGAGGTTTAATTTAGCCATCTCATTCGCACTCACAGGACGAAAGTTAAGGATGGGCGTCAAGGCACGCATCTTTATTCCCCTCCTCATGGTGGCACATTCGTTCCTCGGAAGTTGTCTTCTGCCAATGCTGGCGCTAAATCAAGGCCCCAAATTCCCTTGCTGTGCATGTTGACAGGACAGTAGTTCAAGTTGGATGGAGTTTTTTTACATGACATAATAATGGGAAACGGGCAATCAACACCAAGATGTTTTGTTGAGCCCGAGGTAGCCCATGCGAGGATGATCGCTTTAAGGAATGTCTGTGTCCTTTAATTGTGTAAATCATAGTTTCTTAGTTGTGTTAATGCTAACTTCTCTACATTAAACTGCTTCAAAACGTCGCGAATTGGTTAACAGGGATCTCTCGCTTTTCTGGGAAAGATTTTAGCTGAAATCAAAAGGGTCTTTGTGGAGCCATATGCATTAGATGCTGAAAGTAGAAATATGCATCTGGACAGGAAAGATGTACTTCCCGCGCATTCCACCCCTAATCGCGAGACTGTCCATTCCGGAGCAGCCGCTATGAATGTGGAGTGGCTTATTGCGTTGAGTGGGTAAAGTTGCTGGGTCGCCTTTGTGGACACGAATAGCAGGTAGAGGTCGGCAAATAACCGGTGAGTGGAATTAAAATGATTTGCAAACAAACGAGCATAGGCGTAACTTCATTGACATCCAATGTTTTGCACACAATTGTCTCTCAGATTCTTGATTGCTCATTGTCTGAGATGCACTAAAAGTAGTCTTTTTCCATGGCCACACTGTAGGTGACTGGTACAACCGTCTTCTTACCTTGGCATCCTTCTTCCGACTCAAAACCAAGGGCGCAACTCTGGAGTTCATTTGCGACATTCCTAATCCCTGGTTATCAATTGAGACTTCTTACAGTCCACGTGTTCGATATCTCCACAGTGGAAACGATTGCGGTCGCTTAAGGTCCGGATCGAAAATAAATTGAATTTCACTGATAAATGAGTCTTGGCTACCCTCTTCGGGTGCAATTCAGTGAGGTGATCGGGAAGTAAACACATTCCAGTGTGTGCGGTGTGCACTTAAACTCCACTGCACCTCGGTTGCATAAAAGTCAGGACGAGGCTTACTGGAACGGTTTAATTTGTCCCTGAGGTGCGCAGGCGTAATCTAATGCAGGTTATGATTATATCTATTTGTGCCTTCAGGTGTGGTCTACGTCTACGCAAGGGCATATGTTTTATGGAAGGACGACAAGTATCTCCGTGAAGTCGCCAGGTGTGCGGACGTCACTTGGCACAAGGGTCTACTAAAGAAGGGTCCTGGTGGGTTATCAACTATCATGTTCAACTCAACAACTGATGGAGATTTGTGTTGAATGCGATCGCCTTTGCTTTTGGGTGCTGTGCCAAAACTATGCAGATGTGCGTTTTGTATTCCAAGTCGCAATGCATACGGGCCCATTTGTGCCCATCGAGCCTGCATTCATGATCTTTTAGCTCGAGCTCTGCTGAACCGAGCAGGTATTAGACGCCACGGCCTAGTTCACCTTGCACATGTCGCCTGTCGATATGATGGTAATTCGGTAAATTTGACAAGTTGAAGCCGCTTTATGCATGCATGGGCTGTGCGGAGCATCCTGAGATATCATGATTGTGGCACAATGTATCGCTCGCATTCTGTCTCCATTCGGTTGTCTAGGTGGTATTGAGGCATGCTTTGCTGCACCTCTCACGTGATCTCCAAAAAGTACACTCGATCACAAAACGGCGCATTGTCGTCACCTACTGATCGTAAGTGATAAGTACAAATCCATTGCTAAATGGGAATTTTCGAGTATAAATTGATGAAATTGAGCTTTGGATTGCTTTTTTTTCTCGGTCTGCATGAAGTTTGGTTTGTTCTTCTTCCTGTTAATATCGACATCCACCAATAGTTCACATTAATGTTCTTTCTGTTGCCCTTTTAGCTGTGGCGATCTTGGCTGTGCAATATTTTTTTGCTTTGACTAAGTTTCCTAGAAGCATTATAAACGGGTAGATTTTTGCCATTTGGTCTTTGAAGCCTGTCCATAGGACATTCCGAACTGCGCCTAGATGGTTCGTAAATGTATCATTCTCGTATTCATTTATCGTATTGCCGTGTATGTATTCTCGTTAATAGCTTACTCCCTGTTAATCTTTTTGCTTTTTCACGTTATATGATGTGTCGATTTGCTGGTCTCAATCCCTTACAAATATTAGATAGAGCTTGTTTAAAATGACTCCGACACATTTAATTTACTATTTCATGCCTGCACAAGCCGATCCATAAGCAAGCTAAGATAAGTAGCAGGGAGAAGAAGAAAGTAAGTTAAGTTGATTTAACTACCATTTGGACTATTCTCCAATGGGCTGTGTTTCTGAGTTTAAGTATTATTGAGTACTCGAGGTGAGGTTGTTGTAATTGCCATCGAGTTTAACGACTCCTCCGCATCTCAGGCTGAAATGTAGTTGCAGTAAATGAAAGCTGCCTTTGCTTCGTCAAGCAACGCTTTCGTGATTAGGCCCTCCCTCTAAAGTACTTTTCTTATTTTAGTCAATCTTTGTTCAACACGAAGTTAATGCAAGTCTTATTACATTGCATAGGCGGTGTTTAAGTTTGGTTACTTGAATGAGGAGGTGCTTAGCAATCGCGCTACTTTTAACGGGATTTGGCAACATGAGATCAAAAAATTGCCTTAAAATGGGCAATCTAAGGACTGCTGGCACACCAATGTGGTAGTTAAATCACAGCATACCAAGCAGTCATCATGACGAAATGAACAAATGAATTAATGGTCATCCTGAGAATGGACGTGTTGTGATCTGGCAGGTCTGTGTCACGGCGTGGCGGGCAGTGGGTACACACAATTGGTGGCTCTACGTGCAACAGGAGAGCAGCGCTATGCGGAGCGTGCTCGCGCCTGCGCTGCTTTCCTCTCTTCTGAGGTCTTCCTTAGCGGAGCTCGGAGGCCCGACAATCCTGCTTCACTCTTTGAGGGTCGCGCCGGCACTTCCCTCTTCCTCGCTGATCTCACCCATCCCGAACGTGCTGCCTTTCCTTTCATGGACCCGTTTGAGGACTAATGAACTTCTACGCTTCTGTTTCTCATTTCTTCTTTGTGGTTTATTAAATGTTTGCATGCCAATGTTCTTTCATTCGAGGCCATTAAGTGTTTGGGAGTTTTACATCTACCTTTTCCTCTGCGTCGTCTTCTTCGTCGCTAAGTGTTTGCGTGCCACTATCTTTCTTATTTAAATTTAGCGTTGAGTTCACGTTTTTTGGTTGATGTTCTTCTCATGTTGCTTCCTTTTGACTTGCCTCGTTGGGCCATTCCGAATTTGAGGCCTCTTTTGACTTTTAAAGATTGATGAATCATTTTTAGCGTAGGAAAGATGTGCTTTGTGAATTTGCACATTTGAGGACGAGATTTCCATATGCGTTACTTGTTGTATGCTTACTTTCGGCAAAACCACATCGCGCTTTGAGCAGCTTTTAAAAATGTGGAAATTAGAAGTCTCGATTTCATTGCGACCTTTCTCCTTGATAGCTTTCTTATTCTGACGGAATCTTTAGTTCTTTTTCGCCAGAAATAGTACTAGTTAAGCCCCAGTTAAATGCTATACGGGAAGTGTAGCGCCTTAAGCGACAACAAATATTGTTGTCCAAGCGGGCGTGGTACTTCATGCACTTTTGAAATCGGGCATACGATTGTGCAGGAAACAGTTGTTGTCCAAACTTCGTCCACTCAATTGTTGGCCTCAAGTAGTTTTGTTAGTGTTGCGGTTAGCTTTTATCACTGGCTAGTCGTTGTTGCCGCCCCCACGCATCTTGTTTTGTCTTTAGTCATTCGGCGAGTGGGAGTGAACTTGTGCATGCTAATTTGGTGAACAAGTAACTCTCTTCATGTGATTTATTTGCTTTGCCTACTTTGGATAAACATGGCTTTCATGTCTCTAAGTGTGTTCGTTTTTGGTGAGAGCTACTTTAGGTTTCCGTCTAGCATGCAACAAGAGGTGGCGAAAGAACTCTTCAAATCGCCAGACAGGCATTAGAGCAAGCGTGGTGGTGAGATTGGGAAGTGGTTGGAGAGTGCGTCTCTCACCAGTAGTTGTGATGGTGCATTCAAAATTGATGAAAATGCATCCACTTTCGCTTTTTTTTTTTCATAGTGGTAGTAAACAAATTGTGTCTTCGTTCCGTGTTTGCATGCCACAATGTTCGCGGAGATGACTCACGGCTCTTCGTTCGCCTTTTTTTTCTGATCTGGATTTCACCTCCTATCCTTTCGCTAGTGCAGTGTGTTTCTTCCCATACATTCGGTGGAAATGCACCTGCAGTGTGAAAAAAGTGCGTTGGCGAGAAGACTCGTTGCATAGTATTTGCGTCAGACGACTAGTTTTGGAATGAGACGTATGTTTTCCGTGACGTAGTACATCTGTCTTTGGCCTGAGAGTTGCTATTTCATTGCTATGCTTAATGTCGCTGCTCTCTTCTGTTGCCTGCTTTCAACTCACTCCTCTCTGTGTGGCGCTTTTCTTCTCAATAATTATTTGCACAGTAGTAAAACCTCTGTTTGTAGTTGTAGTGAAGGTGAGTCGAGTCTCAATTTTGGCGCTATGCGTCGATTGAATTGGAAGTCATCTTAATGGAGCAAGCATTTAAGTTATGTCGCCATCTGGGCCGCTTTAACCGCCTCTTCCATATTGGTGAATGAAGTTATGCATTTTGTTGTGCTTTTTTCACCGTTACCAAATTTGACCATTCTCGCGAGGTGAGCCATTCAATTTAAACAAAAATAAGGCAATTGATGATTATCTACCTAAATTCCCATTCCCTCCCCCATGGGGAGCTGTTTTTTGCCTAGTTCAGTGACGAGTCTTGTGACCCTCCTCTGTTCACTTTTTATGACGACTGTCTGGCAATGTTTGTAAAGCCATTTTCCATACAAAATTAAGGCGAGTCAAATATCCGATGTTAAACGAAGAGTAGTGCTTGCCACGTGCGTTTCAACGCCTTTCGACTTCCTTCCCGAAGCGATACCTCCATAGTGGGGATGTTTAGTTGGCTTCATCATTGAAAACTGGGAGCACTTGTAATTATTTAAGTTCATTTCATTTCCCACTACTCTCAATACAGGCAATGAAGGCGCATAGCAGAAGCCATTAGGCAATCGTTTTCTCCGACTGGCACATATATGAAAAACTCTCTCATCAGTGTGATTTCGACTGCGTGTGTGATAGGAGCTGCCGTCCATGGATTTGGTTTTTCACATTCGCGATTGAGTTTCATTGGGAGTACCTAGCACTGATAAGGCTTCAGCCTTCTTGCTTATGCGTCGAAGTGCTACTATTTATCGAGAGCTGAACAATGCTGTATGCATCCGTAACTCGCTTTTTCAATTTGTTCTTGTTTTTGAAATGCTCTCATTTTCAGGTGCTCCTCGGGAAGTCGTTAGGAATGACTGCTGTTGGTATACTTACGGTGTCGCATGATTTCATGGCCTTAAGCACAATCCAGAAAGGCTTACCAAATTAACGATGGATGGGGTACTTTTATGTGTTTTGATGTCTTCCACTTTTGTACACACCCACTCGCCAAATCGCAGGAATGTGGCACCAACAGTCTCATCATTTCCATCTTTCTTATTTTCCTCATTCCTTATAGCCAAAACGTCACCTGTTTAGTCGTTTTATGAGTTGAGTTTCCTTTAAGGTCCAAAAAGAGAACGTGCAAGGCTTTGGTAAACGTGAAGCAGTTCTTCTCCCAATCCACGTAACACATCGGCTGAGGCAATGGGATGGACGTGTTGGAATCAATCTCAGTGATGTTTATTTTCGGCCAATTTTAAAACCTCTTACTGCTTGTGTATCCTCGCTGGGTTAATTTAGTTAGGCTGAGTGTTTCTCGAAGTTTTAGCTAATCTGTAGGCTTAGATTACCACTTCTAGCCAAACACTAGTCTCGTTGTTCGACCCTCATGGCACGTTAGCTTTGAATCGGTCGCCAAATTTCTCATACTGTTGCGTTTCGTCATTTTCATCACCACAGCACTTGTATTTGGCACGATTGACAAATCATCACATCTAAGCAACTTAGGTCAACTTTATTTCCATTTATTATCCTTTTATGTGTTCCTTTGAATTACAACGTAGCTACACACCAATGTAAGGTCCTGTTGATGTCCTACATTCGAAACGAGCCATAATGCTAGGGCAGTGTATGCTGTAGATGGATAGTAGATGAATTTGAGGGAAGGTGGAGGTACTGACATGGACCAAACGAAAGGCAACTCTCTATGCTATCCGCCACTGAAACGGAGAGCTGACTAAGCAATCAACATCGTGTGTATTTCCTCCTTTTGAACCATCATGACCTAGTCGGCTCTGCAAAGGCAGCAGCCTTGAGCCATCTGACGACTTAGCTCCCACCTGGATATTCCATCAAATAGGAAGCTTTTCCCTTGCTTGAAGCTGTAGTGAGGAGGAGGGAATTTTATAGTCACACCCGGTGTCCATAGATAGTAGTGGGATCATCGCTTAAAATTCCAAAGCACCCAATAAAGATAGAGGTGCAAAACCGTTTTGTTTCTCTCTTTTCTTCTTCATTTTGTTTCACCTTCAGTCCTGATCAACCGCATCTCTCTAGCTGGTAGAGCGGTCTAGGACGCGATGCCTGTTTGCTTATTTGATGTCTTCATACGGATACTGCGATCATCTCTGCGACGAATTTCATCAAATGGTTGTCGACTCTTGCCATTCTAGTTTTTGTATCACTTCTGCAAAATGCGAGGCAAAAGAGTTCGGTGAAAGTGAATCCCGTTATTAACCTTTTGGTAGGAGTTGTCACCAATTCTTCCATTCACAGGGCGTTACGCCTATTCGACTCTGTTAAGGTTTGTTCTCCCTGAAGAATCGGATTTGTTTTCCACTTTCACCCATGTAGCGCGCTCCAGGACATCCTGGAAGGATAATGCCTGGGCAAAATAAGCACAGCCAACTCATAGAAGGATTGAAGGCTACCGAGGAAGAAGTAGAAAATTAAGTCTTTAGAACTCACAAAGCCAGAATAAATGGTTCAGCAAACAATTAATACATCAAACCACCACTGACCCCTTAAAGCCAAACTGCAATGAAGATGAGAAGCTGAAATCGAGGTCGAAAAATAGGTTTTACCAAGAAGTAGGAAAGGCCATGGCATTTGGTCTGAAATGGTGCTGAAAGCTTGAAAGGTTACATCCGGAGCTGGCGGGAGTCGTCCTACTCCGGATTAAGAGTATTGAAGTGAATTGGCAAAACTAAATTCCCGCGCTGTCATCCCATTGTACGGCCCTTGTCGTCCTGATGTAAAATAATGGTCCAACAAATGGCACTGCAAGGATACAAAAAACCATCCCAACAACTTAGCCACGCATACCACAACTACCATGGCTTGTTAGCGTACTTTTTACCAAATATCAAAAAAAGGAGAGAATTAGTAAAAAAGATAGCATTCATCGTGTCCAAAAGTCCGTCTTTACAACCCACTCTGAGGAGTTGTGGCAACCACTCAGATGGCTAATTGCTGCATTGCCAGAGTTTGCCCCGTAGAATCTGTAAAAGGTTGCTCAAAATTGATGCATTCTCGCATTCACCATTCCGCTTTGCGGTCAAGTTGTTTCCACAATCTCCTACAGTAAAAGCGTTCATCCCTCGTCCCCACAACAGCAGTTATCCCTTTGTCCAAAACAATGCAAATGTAAGAGGATGTCCTTAGGTCAGCTATGCCTAATTAAGCCTTGTAGTGGGGGTCCAACTTTATGTAATCCTGTAACCCTCATCAGCAGCTCTGCTTCATTGAGTTTCACTTGTTTACTTCGTTAATGACGCCAAATATGAATGTCGGAAGGAGTATTTATCGCGTGCGCCCCAGTGACCAACAGCATTCCACGGAGAGCAATATGAAGTGGATTAGGTTTAGGGCGAGAAAAGGATCTTAGACCTGCCAGGTGTTTATGCATTGCAGGCGTCTCCTCTCCCACCTTCCCTCCCGTGGGTACACGTCACGCCGCCCGACCCGGTCCGCCCCGGCGTGGTCACGTAGGTGAA